AATGAAATGTAAGGTATGGACTTATTACTAGATAAATATCGCAATATTATTTGATAGTGATCTCAACCACTTTTCTTGCTCTAACTGATGTTTGGCACATTCTTCAGCTTCCACTGAGGTCAGCCCCTCACAATTCTGAATTCCTACCACTAAAGAATGGCTCCAGAATGTCTGCCCTGAAGTTCCTCTTCATGAAGTTATTGAAACAAACCTTTGATAGAACAGTGGATACCCAGTTACAGTGTAATCTCATGATGGTTCTATAGAACATACAAACTAAATAATTGTTTTGAAATAAAACACAAAACCGAGTTAATTCACCAAATTATTTATCTTAAAAGTAATTTACAGTTTAGGTATATAAATCTAAATATGAAATGTTATATATTTTAAAATAAACATAGTACATGTAATATTTTTATCAAGTAATGAGAGATAAAATCAGTAATAATACTGTACTCATACATAGGAGAAACATTTCAAATCAAGATATTTATAATATGATATCATACCAATATACGAACATTATATATACAAAGCTTTGCTGGACACATACGTTATATACACAACATTTTATAAACATAAGTGGCTTGTATTCATGTTTCAATTGCTAACAGCTCTCATTGACAGACTGGATCTGCCAGAAGGAAACTCTCCTGCATGATAACAAGGTACAAAAGTCAAGAGTTTTAATGAAATCTTTACCCTGAATCATATCTGTGGTAGGGATGAAATCTTTTAACAAGACATGGAAGTACAAGAGGAGACTGAAATTTACTAACACCTCTTTGTTACTGAATTCTGTCCACAGAATAGCAATAACTATTTATTATATATTGTCCCCAGACATGTTAAGGTAATCACACACACATACTCGCATACATAAAAAGGACCAGTCTATCATTTATCATTTTCATCTCCTCTTTTTTAACCCCTATCCTGTCTTGGAGAGGTCAAGCGAATTGTTTAAGTAAACTTTTATTTAAATGGACTGTAAAGATGGGATTTTCTTTAAAAGGAAAACCTCTATTCGGTCCCCCTTCCCTCTCTCTCTCTAGCAAAGTGACCATGCACACTTCTGATGTTAACTCATAACATACATGCATTTCAGAAGAACTAAGTCACACCAATGACAGAAGAGGCCGTACTCTAATCCTTTTTGGATCTGTGAGCTTGATACACTTGACAAACACATTTTGATTTTAAGAAAATTTTAACCAAAAACTCCTTTCAGAACTTTAATGTAAGTATTCCTTATGCTATATATAAGCAAAACATCCTGAAGATTTATAATATTTACTAGGGGTACAGTATGCAAACATTTGAGAATGCTGCACATATGATTGTCTAGAGTTGGGCAAGATATTTGCACAACTGAAATTCTTTAACATACACTCTATTTATGCTTGATTTTATCATCATATTTACTAAATCATGAAGCATAAATGGATGAATGGATGCATTAAAAAGCATTAAACATCTTCAAATATATGACAGATTCACAACAAAATTTGTAAATGAAGCTGATAAAAAAAATCAAGCCAAATTAAAAAAGACGACCATAAATTTAAAAAAGACGATAATAAACATTCTAATTTACAGTTTTGCAAACTTTTTTTCCATGGTGTGAACAATAAACAGAAACTGAATAAAAAAAAAAGAAAAGAAAAGAAAAAATAAAAACACATCACAAACATGTGGAGAAAATATCAATTATTTCCTAATTGAGCAACCACATCACATACAATATAAAGTCATGAATGGTCCTCTAAATGAATGAAATATTTCACAACACAAAAAGGTGAAAAGAAGAAAAAATCATATCCTTAGTATCATTTCATTACTCAAGAAAACGAAATTATTTCTGGGATGTGTTCAGATTAATTTCAAGGATGTATTGAGATGGAGAAACCTACTTCTACTTCCACGCATTAAGATATAATATTTTTAATTTTTATCCTGAACAATTACCATTGTTTTCATTAAACGCCTCTCTTTAGTGAAAATGTCGGAGTTTCTGACCTTTCATTTAATTTTTTGAATATTCAGTACTGGAGGATGAAATCAGAAACCAAAGATTCCTGGGGAAAGGTCGAAACACTGGTGATTATAATGTAATTATACAGACTGTCCACAGCAAAACTGAAACACTGACACCTGTTGATATAGTCTAACTTACCCTGTTTATTCTAATTTCAATGTCATGTTCAGAAATGAGTATTTCACAGTTTCCAACACAAGTAGGATTACTTTCTGATTATAAAGAAATCGTACCTCCTCAAAAATCATAACAATCTTTATTAAGGTTTTTGATTTCCTCTTGATCCTGTTGACGTCCGATGACAACCGGGACATCGGTCTTCTCCCAATCTTATTGGTGTTTTTTATTTAATATGTTTAGGTTTGTGTAACATTTATGTCTCATTGTTGATAAGGAAAAGCAGCATTAAATGAAAACAAATATCAAAAATGTATCTAAAGGGAGGCTCAAGATTTTTTGTCAAATTACTCCAGTTTCTGTATTTCATAATGTTAATTATCAATGTCTGGTATTCATGAAAGTATCATTTACTTTAAGAATCCATGATATGGAGATCTTGTTAGTGTAATGTCTGGCTAGCTGCTAAACATACAAGGATTTCAACATACCATTTACAGACAATGGCACTTGACTATGTCCTAATGTTAAAAAAATTCACATAAGATATTCAGTTATTCACCACTCTGACTTAGACAGAAAAAAATTTCACTCGTTTATTCTTTGTATCTTACTGGGTATAATTTAATAGGGCATGGTAATTTTTCAGCATTGCTTCTCTTCTAAGAAAAAGATTATGTATGATTAAAAAACATAATATCAGATCACTGTGTATCAACTTCCACAAGTAAATCAAAACAGTGAAGTAATACAGATGTTTAAACAACAACCTAAAATAATTATATTTATAGAATATTAAAAAACCTCCAATGTTTTTGTGAAATTTATTTCATTATTTTACCTCCAAAGATCTTATTGATATATAATAAAAATCTCAAATATTTCAAAGATATCTAAAACGTTGACCTAATTTAACAGTTATGTCATGTTCTAGATACAACTGCGGGCAAGAGATGAAATATCATTTTTATAGCTGGCTAATTTTCTGAATGATTTTAGTCATGAGCTGAGTCCAGGATTTACCAAACACACCGATTTAAGAAGATGTCAGAATTTTTTTTCCAACATGCTAAAAGGACCATGAATCATTTTCAGTTTTATTCTTTAAAACTGATCTCCATTTCAAAAACCCTAGATTTTTTAATAGCCAACCACAGATATCATCGCATCTTACCTTAAAGCAACCTGAAGGAGTTTCAGTTTTACATGAAAAGACAGATTCATCAAGAACTCAACAGATACAGACTTTAGCAGACCTCTAGTGACTACTGATATTAATGTAACACTCAAGATATTTGTGTGAATATCAATGTAGTCACTCCCACCTTTTAAGCTATATTTAGCCTATACTGAAACATCAAATGCTCATGATTATCTATTCGATTTTATTTGAATGTAAACATTTTCACATTTTATCTGTCGGTTATTTCTTTCTACAGTCATTTTCATTTATCAACTACTATCATCACCTAAAACATATCAGTTGATACATAGATACTGTACTCGAGAAAACATTCACTATAATGTAACTCATACAACTTCAAAATCACCTGAAATTGCTTGGTAATTAACAACCAATCTAAGGTTTCTGAAAGATCTAATTCACAATCTGAATGAAACTTAGTAAAAAAAATTATTTTTGTTCATAATATCTTGATTTCAAATCAAAATCTCTAATTAACATCAGATCTAAATATAATGTAGACAAATTAAATGTAAATATAGAACAATATCACAACCACAAAACAAAATGACAATTAAATCCAGACAAATACAAACAAGGAATTTAAATTTTAAAACTTGACCTATCACTTAGAATTAATCCTATCTAGAAGATACACACTTTTGAAATAATTTCCAAAATCGAAAACAATTAAAAGTTCTTGAAGTAAAATGTAAAACAAAAATCAAAATATATCAATTATCATTATCCAATAAAAAACTTCCATACAATGATCACAGTTATTGTCTATGAAATGATACATTTGAAAAATGTCAAAAATATTACAGAAACATCAATAAGAACTTCATTCTGAAAATGAAAATCAAGAAAGGTAATATTAAGACAACAATGATAAAAAACTGTTTAACAGTATTTCATGGACAACCTATTTCTAAAAGTGCACAAGATGTTACCTTCGGTAAATATTAAATTTTTTAAAACATATATTTGTGTCATCATCTGAATAATATCCCAGACTGAAAGAACTAAGTTATGATATTTTTTATTTGTAAAAGTGTCATAAATTACTATTACGGCAAACTTGACATCAATTTGTTTACTTCCATTGTGCTTATGATACACGGTTTGACCATTTCAGCATACAGTCGAACCTTGTTATCTTGAACTCATATAATTGGAAGACCCCGTTTAATTAGAATTATTTCGTCACTTCCTGCCTAACTTTACACAAAACTTCAAACTCACTTACCAGGTATATCAAACACTCAGTTATCTCTGATAAGTATTCTAATGGTCCTGCTAAGTTAGAGATAAAGAAGGTTTCAACTGTATAATTTTTCCTTAATGTATTGATTCATCAAGCAATCACCGGAAAAAGCTAGAAGACAACTGCAGTCTTCATCTCTTTACAACAGTTGTCCATAAATCATACAAAAGTTGATCATGACAAAATATCGGAAAAAACATTTCCATGATAAATGGAAGGTACAAAACTACCCTTTTTATTGCAATTTTAACATACAAATTACACATTATCTCTTAACCTCATATCAAATAAAGTAATAATTTTATCAACATCGGAATATTCCTGTTCCTATTGCAAATCTTACAACCATTTCAAAAGAAAATTGAATATATATTCTTACTTGAGGTAACAAAAGTAGACAAATTTGATTTTTAACATGTACCAAATTATATATGAAGTAGGTGGGAAATTTTATTTTGATAAACAATGAACAAGTCATATAAACCAAAAGAAATGCGTTCTTGTATGATTATATTGATATATGTCCACAATTCTATTATGTTCCGAGGTAAAAACACCTCTTTAAATATTCATCAAAACAAAAAAAAAAAAAGAATTTTTAATATGGCTGCTCATTTCCTTCCTTAACTAGTGAATATTCAAACAGTTTTGAACTTTTTGTATTTCACATGTATGCCAGATCTAGCTGACTCATATCAATCCACTCCCCATACAAATCACTGTATGCTTGGATTATTAAGGTTTTGCTGCTGGTCCCCTCCATTTTGTGTTACTACTAACAATACCAAATAAAAAAATTAAAATATGAGCCACATAAAGCCTGATATCAGCATCCCAAACATGGGAACAATGTTCTTAAAATTACACAAAGAACGATGATTGAAAAAATAATCTAGGGAAAATATGAAATTGTTCTTAAAAAAACAGCATTGTAAGCATTACGAATATAAAGATTTTTCCAAAATGGTCCAATACCAACATGAAAAATAAAAACCATATTATACAAAACAGTTTTGAAAGGCTTAACAACAGCTGGTTACTGTTGTGAGATTAAATATGTGTGGCACAGAAAGTCCTACAACAACACAATGACGGTGGGTTTATAGAGAAGTACTCTCCAGAATCTTCGATTGAAGTAAACCTTGATAATCTGGTGGGTCTTTAGACTGTCCTACAGGGTGCCGAAGTTTCTCACCTCCCATTACGGTGATTGGGTTGTTCTGTTAAAAAGATGTATAAAAATTACATAACAATTATATGTCTTTGAATGTGGAATGTATCACCTCTTAGAGGTACTTTTATTGAGTTTGAGTTCTTAAAGGATTTCAGCCCAGTATCATTTTCTGCTTTGTATAACAGAATAACATTTTTTTCCTGCTTTCCATGATAGGAAATCAAACTGAATGATAGATTACTATTGAGAACAGGGTAAACATCATATGTAGCAGAAGATAGTGATGTACAGATAACCTCTATAGAATACTAATACTTACTTTATGAAATTCTATAAGTTCATGAAGCGATGCGTGAAGGACTTGATTAGCACCGAAGAACTGGTAGCCTGCATCAGACGTGTCTATAAGGAAGTGTTTACAGCGATCTTCTGCTCGGTAAGATATTGTATATCCCCAAACTCGCTCACTGACACGTACAAGAAATGCTCCTAGCGTCTTGGATTGTAACATAAGCTCAGCATCTACTCGAGATATCACACCTTAAAAAGAAAACAGAAAATATGTCATGTATTCTAATCACTTACAGCATACATTGATATTTAACAATGCAATGAGAATTCATGAAACCTTACCTTACCAACTTTATTTGCACCAGATTTTATAGTCGTGACTATCTATCCCCAAACATGAGATCCCAGGGATATCTTAGTGCCCACCATTATTTCATCTTCATTAATTCTCTAAGATCTGGATAATTTTCTTTCTTTTCTCTTCATTCCTATGATTTCCTTCTCTGATGAAATAATGATAATAATTTATCAATGTCAAATAAAAAACAAGAGGCCCAAGGGGCCCTAACAGTCACCTGAGGAATATATGTCAATAATCTTGGGATTTTAAAATGTTGCAAAAATGTAACAACACTTGTGCAGGATCATGTGTAAAAAAATCTGTACCAAGTTTGACCCACCCAATGGTTCTTGAGAGGAAGTCCATAATGTCTTAGCCAAACAGAGGCCAGGGTGGCCATCTTGGATTTTGAATCGCCCCAAAAAGTTAAAACACTTGCCAGGACCTTGTGTAGAACATTCGTATCAAGTTTCTCCTTTTTCCCCCTCCTGGGGTCCCTATTGGGGCCACGCCCTTTTTGTTCCCAAACTTCCCCTGGGGATGCTTTGTGCTAAGTTTGGTCAAAATCCATCCTATGGTTCTTTAGAAGAAGCCATTTAAAGAAGGTTTTTACATATGGCCCCTTTTACACCCTTTATGGGCCCCAAATGGGACATAATCACTTTTTTCAACATAATTTCATATGTTCTTCACTAAGGGATGCTTTCTACCAAATTTGGTTGAAATTGGTCAAAGTTGATTTTTGACCCTTTTAGCGCCCCTAGTGGGGCCGTTTTTAACCCAATTTTTTTTTCATTCGCAAACTTTGTAGACCATGCCATAAGGACCCTAAATATCAAATATAAATTTAATCTGACTGTTGGTTCATGAGAAGAAAACTTTTAAAGATTTACCTAATTTTACACCCTTTTTCCCCCTCCTGGGTCCCCTATTGGGGGCATGCCCTTTTTCTTCACAAACTTGAAGCGGCTTCCCATGGGGATGCTTTGTGCCAAATTTGGTCAAAATCTATTCTGTGGTTCTTGAGAAGAAGTCAAATACATGAAAAGTTAACGACGCACGACGACAGACAAATCATGATGGCAATAGGTCACCATGAGCCTTCAGCTCAGGCGAACTAAAAATTCATTCTTATGCTCATTTTTATATCTACATTGACTACTTACCATGGAACCAAGTAGCCAAGGCCTTGGTGTTTATATCTACACAGACTGCTTACCATGGAACCAAGTAGCCATGACCTTGGTGTTTATATCTACACAGATTGCTTACCATGAAACCAGGTAGTCAAGGCCTTGGTGTTTATATCTACATTGACTGCTTACCATGGAACCAGGTAGCCAAGGCCTTGGTGTTTATATCTACACAAACTGCTTACCATGGAACCAAGTAGCCATGACCTTGGTGTTTATATCTACACAGATTGCTTACCATGAAACCAGGTAGTCAAGGCCTTGGTGTTTATATCTACACAGACTGCTTACCATGGAACCAAGTAGCCAAGGCCTTGGTGTTTATATCTACATTGACTGCTTACCATGGAACCAAGTAGCCAAGGCCTTGGTGTTTATATCTACACAGACTGCTTACCATGGAACAAAGTAGCCAAGGCCTTGGTGTTTATACCTACATTGACTACTTACCATGGAACCAAGTAGCCAAGGCCTTGGTGTTTATATCTACACAGACTGCTTACCATGAAACCAAGTAGCCATGACCTTGGTGTTTATATCTACACAGACTGCTTACCATGGAACCAGGTAGCCAAGGCCTTGGTGTTTATATCTACACAGACTGCTTACCATGGAACCAAGTAGCCATGACCTTGGTGTTTATATCTACACAGACTGCTTACCATGAAACCAAGTAGCCATGACCTTGGTGTTTATATCTACACAGACTGCTTACCATGAAACCAAGTAGCCATGACCTTGGTGTTTATATCTACACAGACTGCTTACCATGGAACCAAGTAGCCAAGGCCTTGGTGTTTATATCTACATTGACTACTTACCATGGAACCAGGTAGCCACGGTCTTGGTTTTGGGATCTATACCAACTCCCTGTGGTTTCTCCTCCTCCAGGAACCACTTGACCACATCATCTTTGTTTTTAGGTCTTAGACTTCGCTTCTTCCTTGATACTTTATTACCACTTCTAAAGAACATACAGATTTATAATGTAAAAAGATGCTGTTTTTCCTGAAAGATGTAACAACTGTCCTCACTTTCTTTCTCATTTCTATTTTCACAAACAGGAAATAAAAATGCACAAATAAGTACAGATTAATGTAGATCACTTTATACTTATTTCAAGACTGGAAGAGTTCTGATATTCTGTATCTCAGAATCCCACAGTAAAAATTACACATGTACAATGCTTTTATTATTTTAATAATTGCTCTCCTAGTCCCCTTGAACTACAGTACAAACTTATAATACAATTCTCAGTTGTTGAGCTTCATGTAATTTAATTTTTACAGTAGACACAAGTAGCACCCTCACTATAGGTGATTACATGAATACATACTCTAAACTACAGATTATAATTTTCATGGAATTAATTCCATTGTTACAAATCACACACTTTCTCAGTTATCCCTTCAGTGAGTTTTCAGTTGAATGATATTGTTAAATCCTGGTGGTGGACATTTATTACTTACTACAGTAATGCTAGTATCTCATTTTATGGTAAAATAATGTATTGTGTATCAATACAGGTATCACTTAATATATAATACAGGCATGCTCTATAAATTAGTGTCAAATCCTAATATAGGTCCTTAAAGGGACAAAAAAAAAAAGCTTCATGCAAGCTGAAAGTCGGAAACCAAAGAGCGTTTCAAGTGGCTTCGCATAACATCTTGCATGGAAATCTTTGTTTTCCACTTATAAATTATTTGAAAACAACGTTACAATTACCAAACCTATATGGTGAATCACAAAATACAAACATAGTAATACTTACAGGGTCATTCTTCTCAAAAACCGTTTAAATTTAAGGCAGACTTTATGGTAAACTTTGACATTATTTGGCTTCTTTCCATAGTAGCCCAGAAGAAATGTTAGAAATTTAGATCTATCTTGCTCCATGATCTCTATGATCATTTTCAGACCAAAACTGTTCTATAATTCTTCAAGACACTTTAAAAATTTGATAACATTTACATACATATTCAAGGAAGATGTTTAAAAATTAATTTTTTTTTAATATAAAAACCTCATTAACTTGATCAGGTACTAAGAAAGACGCATGTGTTGTATCCCGTGATTGCAGAGCTGAATAATTTGGGGACTCTTTCTGTCAGCCTACTACAGGTGAGATAGGAAAGAAACCATCACAGATGTGTTCTAATGCAAAATCTCCCAACATCTTTTGATTCTCTTTCCAAACATACTCTTATTCTAACACTTGTGACCTCTTTGACCAACTCTATTCCTATAGTAACACTTGTGACTTCTACCATTTTTTAGGTATACGTATATATACAAGTTTTATTAAGCGTATGGCTGTTATCCTTCTTCTGGCCATCTTTACTATGTATTATGTGATATATATGTATTCCTGTTGGTACTCCAGGCAATACTTGATTGTTGCAGCAATACATACATAGCAGACAACTATAGCAAACAGGACATGTACGTTTACACAGCTACAACACCAACAGCCAAGACCACGAATAGCATCAATTAGAAGTATATATATATATACAGATCTGTTTTCCCTCTAGTCAGTGAAAAAGGTATTATGATGCATTAGATGTACAATAATTTACTGAATGTGCAGATGTTTTAGGTGTATATATTAATTAAATGTTTTAAATAACCAACATGGTAGTTACTTATTCAATCTGAACCAATGATTACAGCTTTACCACAAACGTTCAGTCGGTTAAAAACAATAACTTATAATCCTGTCATATACCACTAAAGCACTGAACTATTCTTAACACAAATTTGTTTTACAAAATCAAATAATTGTGAACTTAGCTATTAAACTTTCATGCATTTATGAGCAGGCTTATAACATCTACTCTATTATGGCATGCTTCTAGCTTCTACATTAGTGAACATTTAATGGACAAACCAAAGTGTATTAGCTAGAATGGAGGGGTGGTAGACAGGGGCAGGCGAGACAGGTGGTATTAGGGAAGGTTGTATGGGGAGGAAATGGCAGTGATGGTAAGATGGCTTGAGGAAAGGTAGAAATAATGGAATGAAGTAATATGAGGATGATTAAAATATAAGTGATTGGAGAGCAGTTTCAATGACAGATTTCTAGTAGCACAAAAGACCAAAGAGGTTTAATGTTTCTCTGAGTTCTACACTCATGCACAAGGGTTTTTAAATATCCATCTGAGTGCTAGTCCCTAGTCCAATGGTACTGATGTTCATCTGAGTTCTAAAGTGAGGCCAAAGAGGTTTAATGTTTCTCTGAGTTCCAAACTGAGGCCAAAGAGGTTTAGTGTTTCTCTGAGTTCCAAACTGAGGCCAAAGAGTTTTAATGTTTACCTGAGTTCCAAACTGAGGCCAAAGAGTTTTAATGTTTACCTGAGTTCCAAACTGAGGCCAAAGAGTTTTAATGTTTACCTGAGTTCCAAACTGAGGCCAAAGAGTTTTAATGTTTACCTGAGTTCCAAACTGAGGCCAAAGAGTTTTAATGTTTACCTGAGTTCCAAACTGAGACCAAAGAGTTTTAATGTTTACCTGAGTTCCAAACTGAGGCCAAAGAGTTTTAATGTTTACCCGAGTTCTAAACTGTTGTTTTTGTTGTTGTGTCACATGTCGTAAAAATCACCTTGTTAATCTTGTTAACAATGTATGATACCTTAAAATATATCATGCATTGTAATGTAGTTACCACAAAAAAATATGTTTGTGAAGGGACATTATTATATTAGGCCTGTCAATAACAAGAGAGATGCCCTGTCAAATATCTCGTACATGTCTTCCATTCATGAACAGTAATTATATATAAACGATTCTAATATATCTCGGTGTTGTGCACAGGAATTATTTTTAAAAGTTCAGTCAATACTGTCCATCCCATTGGTCCATGGGGTCAGCCATTATCAATATATGCATACCATCATAATGCTATTCATAGTAACAATTCTGACCAAGTCTGAATGATTTCCAATGTGCTTCGTAGTCATTTTCTAATATAAGGTGCTATGTAAACAATCTCCATCCTGGGAGCAAATGTGACACACTTGGGCCATGATTTTTGTCAAGCATTTGAAAACCTTTCATCCTTTTTTGAATCGATGCTATCCCATGCTAATAATTCTGATTGTACAATTTATGCTTTTGGTTCATCTTTGGCCATGGAAGGTTTCTGCAAAATTTCATGGATATTGGTACTGGGGTTTTCTAGAAGTTGAAAATGTCATATTTATGGATGGACAATGGTCAATGACAGACAAAAGGTGATTGCAAAATGTCACATGACACTTCACTGAGGTGACCTAAAAAAAACAGGGCCATAAGTCAGATAGTGTATTAATGATAGAAGTAATAGTTGTAGTGGAAATAGGTTGGATAGAAATGATGCATAAGTTCATTCAGTATTCAAATATATATTGAATATAAAGTGCTAGCATATGGACATTTTGTTTTCAGGTGTGTAAACATGCAGTGAAAATTGTCAAATCCAGGTAAAAAACATTGTAAAATTACTGAAGACTTTGTAATTAAGATTATGAATATATAAATTTCATATTTCTTATAAATTACAAAAATATTGAAATCAATTCACATTGAATTTTTTTTTCTGGTCTCTGACAATAAGCACTTGATCATTTCCCAATACTAAACACATATGTAACTGAAGGAGCAGGCATATAGAGAAAGGTTTACTTACGTTCCATTTTGACTAGCCAAGGCATTTTGTGTAAGATATTTGGGCCTGACCAATCAAAATCATTATGTCAAATGTGAGTTGGATAGTGGTTTTATCAATAAAGAACAGTTAACTATCTGTAACAAGCTTGGGTTTAATATCAATCTTCTTTAAAAAATGAATTTCTATTAAGATGAAGATGCTGATGAAATATGGTTTAAGATGATGTCTGAAGATTTCATTTATTTTCTTCAGGATTACAAAAGATGCATGAAAAAAATTATGCATACATGGATGATGAGAGATGAATGGCACAAAAATAAAACATTAAACATGTACAGAAGTAGATTATCATACTATAGTTTTCTCTACAGTATTTCGAGACAGAGAGTTCACACCACCAGTACAAACTTAATAGGTTGGTTGCTTGCTACCAAGTTCCAAGTGGTAAATATTCATTTCAGTTTAAAATTTTATGCAAATGATCAAAACCTAGGGAACCTACCAGTATATTGTACGCTTAAAAGACATGATAATCTCTCAGGACATTTTCAGAATCATTATGCTCAAAAACCAGTTTTAATCATCCTAACGAAGCCAAAAGTTTAGGTGAAACCGGTATTTGTTTCATAATCAATAACATTTAACTTATCCTGAACTTGTCGTGATTGACTCATACATGTATGTTATAATTGCCCTGCATGTTGAATGCTACTAGTGCAAGAGATATACAAAACAAGAGATCCCAGAGGGATCTTCACGCCCACCATTGTTTGATCTTTATCTATTGTTTAGAAGTTAGATATTTTCCCTTCTTTTCTCTTCTTTCTTAGCAGAAATGGGGATAATATTCTTAAAATGCAAAACCCAAGATGGCTGCCTAAAAGCCATTTTGGTTTTTTCTTAGTCCTAAAATCAAACGGGCACAACTAGGGACAAAGGGAAACCTACAAAGGAAATTTGAGAGAGATCTATCCAGTACTTCTAAAGAAATAGCAATGACAACATTGCTAGGTGCTCTATTGATATAAAGTAACTACAGGTAGACTTAAATATCTAACCCACCAATCCGCTAATGATATAAAGTAACTACAGGTAGACTTAAATATCCAACACACCAATACGCTAATGATATAAAGTAACTACAGTTAGAACTAAATATCTAACCCACCAATACGCTGATGATATAAAGTAACTACAGGTAGACTTAAATATCTAACCCACCAATACGCTAATGATATAAAGTAACTACAGGTAGACTTAAATATCCAACACACCAATACGCTAATGATATAAAATAACTACAGGTAGACTGAAATATCTAACCCACCAATACGCTAATGATAATATAAAGAATACTGACAGGACAACCAATAAATATCCTTTATCTGAGTATGAAACTTCATTCAACGGCATTTATTTCACCCATGAATCGCAACTGAAAGAAGTTCAATTCTTATGTTCACCATTTTCAATTTTTGGCTGATTATAAAGGAAGGAAACCTTAATCCATTTACATTACTTGAAATATTCCTATGCCACTGGCAGTTCATGAGCTAGTAATACACAAGTGGCTTTGGTAAGCTTACATTGTAGGAATGCTGTACAATAGTAAATGTATCATAGTGAACCTTGCCCTGTGCTAATTGTTTAACTATCCAATCTGACATGAGTTACTATTCATTATGATAATTACATTTAACTAACATCTTTTTATAAATTTCATTGGTATTGAATTTCAACAGGAAAAAGTTTTCAGAATCGTGAAGATCATTATTCTGAGGACCTACAAACCAAGCTGTGTTATATCATTTTCTTTCTTAGATGTCTACAGTGTTAGTTTTCACTATTTTAATTTTTCTTATTTTATTCACGGAAAAAAAATGTTAACTACAATAAAATTCTATAATCTAACAACAACACAAAGTAAGGATTTTATGAGGTGCTTACTTTGGGGGAAGAGGAGGCTTAACACCCTCTGAGAATGCTGAAGCAGCATTGATGACACCGGATGTGAGACGTAAAGAATTACGATGTTCCTCTCTGGCTCGTTTAGCCAAGGTCTGCATCTGTTTCTCTGCTTCTTTGGCCTGTTTCTCTGTAACACACATCAAAATATTTGTGAAAAAAACATACCATATATATTAACACACCAGACAATATGTGAAAAGTAATGTTTGGTCTGTGTTTTACATCTACCCTATAGCTAATATCATACAAATAGAAAAGGTAAAGACAAGAACAAAAATCCTTCTTATTTATTTAGGGGACTATGCCTACTTTTATGTATATACTAGAAATAAGATAATGAATTTTGGTTTTAACATGAGACAAAGTTGAAAGTTAAAACAACAAATCCATTATCTAATCTCCAGTATATGCATAAACGCAAGCCTACTATCCCCATTTGTAAATGATTTGGCTTAAAGTGGTGAAATTTTCGCAATATCAATAAAATTCAACAAAACCTCAGATTTGCACATTTTTTGTTTGAAATGGTCCCTTATATATCCTTTGCCAATTAAAACATTGTTTTCAATCATTGATGACATAAAATCTCCATTCACTTTCAAGACAAGTTGTTTATAAGGCTTGAACAGTTTCTCTGTATGGATTTTCTGTCTAAATTGTCATTTTATTGAATCCTAGTGAACATACCCTTTATCTAGTAAAGGTAGGAGATAATACCATGTAACATATGATTTCATGTATTTGTGATATTACAATTAAAGTTTGTCCCTGAAATAAGAATACACATGTATTACCTACTGCAACTGTTACCATATTCATCAACATTATGAAATTACTGACAAACTTACTTGAAACAGAGATAGTGAATCATATTTAGTCACTAAGATTATCATATTCTCCACTTCACATTTCAATGACACATCTGAGTATGTTATTGTCAAAATTCTCCAATGTCGAGATTGATCATCTCCCTCTACAGGAATGATGGCGACCATTTATCGGCAAGCATCAGAATAAGTGTTATGGCGAAGACTTAAAAATACATGTGTATATTGGGGAATAGATCATGAAAGTTATCAAATGAAAAAAATTTGTTACATAAGCATTATTTCATTATGGTAAAATTTACTTTTTTTGTCTATACATAAATATGTGTACCAGCATTATAGCATTCCTGCAAATGTCGTAAGTTAAACATGACACTGTAATCAATCTGTGAACAGCCAGGGTCATTTTGAGGGAGGTCTGTCACATGTCATCCTCATCAATTAAAATCAAATGTCTTGCCAAAGGACACAATCCTGACAGCCCAGACTGGTCCTTACTGAGAAAGGAAAGTCAAACCACACACCTCAGAACTTAACCTGGGGATACAATGGTCAATCTTCTTCTATTTTCTATAACCTTTTGACTTTATCTTACTCATGTGATTTTACCTCTATAATGCCAGTTGTCCTCCACCTCTTTTGACTCCTCCTCTGCGGTTTTCTCAATCTGTCGCCTCATTTCCTTCCATCGTACATACAGCTCATTGCTACGGCGGCGTTTTGCCTTCTCGACCTTTTCCATGGAGACACGACGCTCCTGGGCAAAAGATGACTGCAGAGAGAGATCAAGATTTTACAAATCACTAAAATGGTCTTTGAACAGTTAAAAAGTTAACTGGAAAAAAAGACACAAACAAAATTTGCTTCCTTCAATACTTAAAGATTTCAATCATGCATACAATTTAAGGAAATGAACAATTTGAATTCATGAATTTTCATTGATGCATGTTGTTTGAACCAGTTGCCTGAATAGAACTGGAAATTGGTTCCATGGTAGCCATCTTGAATCCACATGGATCCAAATTTTGTTGGAAACCAATTATGGACCCTGGGGTCTCTGTAGCATAATCGATTTAACAGTAGCGATAACATTTTAACAGACAAATGGAGAGACAATGGATTGTAAGGACAAGTATAGCTGACTATGTCTTCCCTAATTTCAACAAGGTGGAGACGGATTCATGAGAGAAGAAAATGACAACAATGCTTGGAATGTTTTGTGTAGATGTTAGATAAACCATAATACTTCCATATTTGACTTATTTTTTACTGATTTTCAAGGGACAGCTATCAGCTGACTAGTATTTAGGTGATCTTTCCAGCAACACAAAGCATGTGCCAAGCTCAACAAAGAAATATCAGAGTTTTCATCCAAATAATTACATCAAATCTGGATATGAATTATTTATCAATCACTGTAAAAGTGGATTTCATTGGTTGTACTTTGAGCTACAGTTAAAGGGAGGTTACTCTCACATTATACTATAAATCATAGACTTCTACATATAACACCGTCCAGTAAGTCTGTTAACACATATACATAGAAAAAGGTTGATATTGTCTCCAAATCTAGGGAAGGCGTCATACAAAATCAAATCAAACTTGCTATGATAAATATACATTTTATAATTTGTGAGAAAAACAGAAAAAAAAATAACAGAACTCTTGTTACATCTAAAAGATAAATAAAATTTTCAAGATTAGTTGACAGAAATGTTTTATGTATATAACCATACAGAAATTTAAAAATTAAAAATATTCAACATGCAAAAATGTAAGGTAAACTACAAGAAATTTCACTTTCATTCATATTCCAACAATCTCCCTTTTAAAGCAGCCACAGGAAAGTTAACTTTAAATGCCCAATCTTCTTTACAGAAGATGTTAGGAATTTTTCTCATGTAATCAACAGTGGAAAATACAGCCCTTCTGCTGAATATTTATGCCTTTTGATGTACATGAAAAAAATGATCCTGAAAATATTCAACCTACAAATAGCTCATTTCTGTTCACAACATTGGCTTAGACTCAAAAGCAAAAACAACCCAAATACTTGCAACATTAAGCAAAACAGGCTACAAAATGTTAATGCTTGCCAACAGTTGTCAGTCTCAACCTTGTGATCTTACAGCAAATATCACTCGGTGAGCAGATCAGTAGACCGTGATTTAGTCTCACCAAAAACACCACACACAGAAGTGCAATACACAGATATAATTTTATAGGTCTGATACACCAATTATCAGTATCACGATACTGTCTATCCAGAAAATCCTGGACACGTGTAGGTTTTTTTTTTTCAGCCAAGAACTCAGCTTTCAAGTAAGATGCAAACACAACAACAGCAAAAAAAGCATGTACTACATCGTTGACAAATCATGTACAGAAAGCACTAGGTCCTGTTCTGGTTATCTCATCTAAGTTTCACTGAAAATCAGTTCACATATTCATATTTATACAGCTGATGAAATTCTTTTCCAAATGAGTTTATCAGGAATTAAAAACTTTTCCATTATTGAACCATTAATACTGAATTATTGAACCATTAATACTGAATTATTGAACCATTAATACTGAATTATTGAACCATTAATACTGAAATTTCCTGTTGATTAATGAATTATAATACCTTCCATCATTGATATCTATGTTCTTTAAAATTGCTGTGAATGTACATGATTTGGTGCAATCAAATTTTAATGCATTATAACTTTCTGACAAATTAGAACAACGATAAAGTCACATGTCCACAATAATTACTATGTAAGCAGCACATAAAAACTGCAATTTGCACAATCATATTTTAGTATAACACTTTCAGCGCTAAAACAACTGAAATAAGATTACTGATAAAATATAGCCCTTTACAGTACTTAAGACTATTTGATGACTTTCTGTATCTACAGTAACAGTGACCTTCACTATCCATTCTTTAAACATGAATTCATCCCAAGCATTCTCAGAGATCACCTCATCAAGTTTGATCAAATTCCTTTAAAACTTTACTGTAATAAGCTATTGAGTTATGTCCTTAAATCAACTGCTGATTTCCTAATCACCTTGAACTTAGTCCTGAAACTCTGAAACAATAGTTCACCAAAGGTGTTGTTGCTGTTGTTTGTATAAAGTTTGATTTAAATCTGTTGAGAAATGAAGTAGCTAGAGTTATCACATTTATTCAGCATGGAAAGGGACAAGATGAACATGGTTAACACTATTACCTTTCCAGGAAACAAAAAATAGCATTAACCAAGCAGTGCCTTTTATTTTTAAAATTTGAAATTAAATTTCTTAAGGTCCAAATTGTCTTAAGAATTCTTTGAATTAGTTTAATTAGTAAAAAAAGCAGTGTAAAGTAATTTTTAGTTCAAAAGGAAAATTTCATATTTATAAAAATTGCATGTATACAACAGATACATCAATGTGCTATATGAAAACCGGCCTCATGGCCACCAGGAGTAAAATCTGTTATAAGCAGTAAGATTAAAGTCCTTGATACCTTCACCCTCAAATGTAAATGATCTCATATATCAGAGTTCCAGATTCAGCCATTACCAGTTATGTAAAGTAAAAATCCACACCAAAATCATACTGGTCCCTATAACTTTCTCATAGTTCTTAAGACATTTGGAAAGAAAACAGTTTTGAAAATAGCAACTGTTTTTATAGTGTATATGTTCACTGCTTCAAGGAATATTACATGTTCAAGCATATTTAATCTATTTACAGAGTATGCGTATGTTTATCAAAAATGGATGCACTTAGATTATATAACAAGTTTCTAAACAGACAAAACCAGACTTAATTCAATCCCTAAACAGGTACACTATACGCAAGAAACTAACAAATGGTTTAAATGAGTTTTACATGCTGTACTGTGAAGCTGTATCAGGTGAATTAGCAATGTTGTGATCTTCCTTATAAACATTTTGAGTAAAATGCCAGTCAGGTAAGAAGGAGGATAAGAATTGTTGGGTTAATAAATAATATGGTCTCCTTCATACAATTATAGACTATACAAATACCAGCTGACTTTAAAAGTTAATACAATCTTATGAAGTATATAGGTGTGGGTTAATTAACAGTGATCTCTTTCATTCAATTAAAGCCAACACACTCACACTTTTTAAAATTATGTTTGTGTGGGTTAATAAATCTAGTGATCCCTTCCATTCAGTTATAATCAATGCATGTAGTAAGATTCAAAGTTAATACAATATGATTTTGAAAATGACACGTGTGTGGGTTAATTCTTATCACCTTCTCTGTATAAAGTACAAACAGCCTTTCAACATCAACCATAAGAAAAAACATTCTCCTAACAACATAGAATTATGTGTACGATTCCCCTAGGTCATGCACTGCATACACTGCCAATATCGTCCCATGCATCTGCCATTGAAAAATAAATTTACATTTTTAACAGAAGAAGAATTGACATTCCTGCCTTCAGCTATGGCATGCTGCGTCTTGCTATGACAAGTAAGGTTGTCTGATACCTGCTGGAGATCTTCACATTTCTTGCAAGCTCTTAGCTAGGTAAAGGAAAAGGTCATATTAACACCCATGGACAAAGGTAACTTACCCAAAAGTACTGTAAAAAGGTTATTAAGGATTAATTTCAAAATATGGAGATGAAACATGAATAACAAGAAATACCCAGGATTGAATTTAGAATACTAAAGATCAAGTATCAACTATGTTATATATATATATATATATGTTTAGAATGTCAAATGTGGTATACACCTATTCTAAAGCTCGCACAGGGAAAGTCTTAATATCAAATATGATGTGTATCCAGGGCTGAATCTAGAGAAATATATATCAATTATAAAACTTTAACTCTGTGGAAATTCTACCTCTTACATTTACAAGGTGTAGTGTCAACACTGATATATAATATCATGAGATTTCATGCCTTTGAATGGGAAAGAGTTCAACAGCAGTGAAAATCGTTATAACTAAAAGAGTGTTACAAACCCAGTCATAGGAGGCAAGGGAGGCTACCCAATACAATATATTTGCAGATCACTTTTCATAGTCAAAAAGGCCGATCAAAATCAGATGTTTGATACAAAGTTTATGTATAATTCAATGCATCCGCTTGTTGAAATTAGTAAATAAATTCATGTAATATTTACATTCAAAGTACATGTTTTTTGGAAAAAGTGATTTACAGATATTAAGTCGTAAGGCAATGAAAAAAGTGTTTGCTGGAAACCATCAAAATTTATACAGTAAACCATTGAAACTGACACAGCTATAACACCACTAACCTATCATATTTCGGCCTACAGCTGAAAGATTCTAGTCAACCCATTCTAAACTACCAGAGTTGGTCCCAATACCGCTGACAGACAAGTGGACAGTTCACCCTATACTTCCACCATCTACCAATTCTAAACATCGTATATGTACAATGATAAAACAAGTTTAACGAAACCACAGATGTAATTTGATTGGTCAGTTCACTGCACACAAAATCATTTTGATTGGCCACCAAAGAGAAGGGATGGTGAGAGTGTGGGAGACATCAAGAAGCACCCTTACTCTCAGGTTTTCCACCCGTTTCATTTCCTCTTTCTTCTTCTCCTCCTCTAATCGTTTGGCCACCATGGTTGCTTCCTTTATCGACTTATACATTTCTGCTTCCTCCTTCTTCCGTCTGCAAAATGAATCCACAATGAATATGAGAAAACATTTAACTGATAAAACTTACCACTGCAGAGAATGAATACAAAATCTGATATCCGCAGTGGGGTTAACCAATAATAACAAATGGTAACAATAAGAAAAAAAGCAGAGAGGAAAAATAGTGCTATATGTTAGAAATAAAGATTAAAACATACCAAGTTTTTAGGAGATGGATAGAAAACTAAGAAGTCTGTGGACAACATTCTAAACAGAGAAGAACATTTGTTTTGTATTTACATAGTTATAGCTGACCTCTCACTGAATTCAGTTATTCAAATTACGATTGCCCTCCCAAAGTGATGTTTCAGAATTAAACGTAACAATATAAGAATTTTCCCTTTTGGGCCTCATCCTACTCTCCTTAGAGATCAAATCAACTTCATTACTAAAAATTCTGATTCAACTCTCCTTGTGATATTTGAGACCAAGCTGGGTCGAAATCCATTCATGCATTAAGTTGAGGAGGCATTTTAAAGCAAAATTTAAGAATTTACCATCTTGGGACCCTATCCCAAAGTTCCCATTCATCAAAACAAAAGCACTGATATAAACATGCTGATATTTCAGGCCAAATTTGGTTGAAATATGTTCAGGCATATTGGAGTAGAAGCATGTTGAGGTAAAAGTTTACAAAAGGTGGATGATGACTGAAGAAGCAAGATAGTATCAGGCCATCTTGATCCTATAGGTCAGATGACCTAAACCTGGTCATGTGACCTTTCACTTTTAAATGTTGACAGCCACCAAATTTTTATCAGGTGTAAAATATAAAACTGCACATTTTAATTCCAATGTCAAGTAAAAGTTGAAAACTATTCCCTTGAAGTAGTGACTTATTACTTTCAGGTTTTCACTTAAACACTAAATTTAGTATGACTTTTGAGCCATTTTACCATACACCAACAACTTTATCAAACCAGTTGTGATATATGTAATTTGGAGAAGAAATATGTTAATACATTTTTTTTATTCTATGATGAAACATTGCTAACCTTACATCCTCTTCCATTTTCTTCCTGGCAAGTTCAACCTCACGCTCTTCTTGTTCCAATCGCTGCTTCAGATCCATCTCTTCCTGTTGTCTGCAGAAATAATAAGTAATACATAATGTCTGATCACAGAAATCAAATCACTCTAGACCAGAGTTTGACAATCAGTAAAGGTTGATTTCACAAAAATATTCATTTGACTTTCAATTTTTAATCACATTAAATGACCTTGACCTTCGACTTTTGACCCGAACACTAATCCTACTAACAAGTATTTGAATAAGGTAGCACTTTGTGATAATATACAATTATTGACGTTTTTGAGGTGAATTGATTTATTTACCTGATAAGATAATATCAACAGAGCCCAATAGGGTGAAGTGAATATTTCCTTTTAGGGTAGATAAACCTTCGTATTCACCTCAAAAAAGACAATAACTTTATCATATGACAATGAGGTTCTCTGGTACAAATCCTCATTATCTGTTCTGACTTCCATATAAAACTTCGACAGGCCGATGTCGAATTCACCTGTTGACTTTAGTTCAATGTCAGCATTGAGACCTTTAAAGGGGACGGCTAAATTGTTATATTAACCTGCTGAAGAGCATGCAAGATATATATAACAATTCTTTCAGGTGAGCATATTAGAAATTAGCCAATTAGTGGCCAGGAAAATTGCAAGTCATATAACAATAGAGTTTATCGACTCATGGATATGATTCAAGTTCTGTTTTTAAAGAAATTATTTTAACTTTTGCTTTTTTCATTTTCTTCATTTCATTTCATTATAAAAAGGTAATAAGTACTAGTGTTATATATAGAGAGTTTGCAATAAGTAACTAGGACATGTGCAATATAAATGTTCAAAGCAAATGTAAGACATGGATGAATCACTAGATATGTACAGAACAGAAATTTCGATGGTCAATCTATCAGTTATATTGGTTCATATAAAGAAATGTGCAGGAATGAATGGTCACTGGGCCAAAAGTTTTTTCCATTTTAACGATCTGATCACGAAACCAGTACCTTAGTTTATCCATTTCCAGCTCTGCCTTTCTGAATGCTTCATTCTTAGCCTCCTCCTCCAAAATGTCCTCAATTCTCCTGTCTCCTTGGTGTTCTCCCATCACCCATACCCATTCTTGTCCATCACTTCCTTCAAGGAACTTTACAAATCCCTTTTTACCTGTAAAATAGAACCATACAACACTTTCAAATGGATCAACATTGCATTCTTTCAAATTATTTTACTATAAATGTTGATTTCTTCAACAAACTTTTGCAGAGATATTTCAACTCTTGGCCTTTCGGTTATAAAGAACAAGAGGCCAGACAGTCTTGACTGTTACCTGAGATAAGCAATATTGAATATAAATGTTGAAGGGAAAGCAGCTTTCAAGTCTCGTGAAAAAATGAAGATAAGTCAGTGTCAATACATGCATACCTGTTATCCTACACTAAGTTATATGGGAAATAGATGTTATGTTCAAAAACTACAAAAAAAAAAGAAGAAAATGTGAGTCCAATTTCTGTTAAACTTCCATCCATGAATTGTAATCAAGTTTTAAATATTTCCAACAGAAATTAAACAAATCATGCACAAAAATATATTTTTCTTATATAAACTTTAGTAAACTTGACCTCGTCCCCACAGGGAAATGTTAACCCTGGGGCCATGAAATTCACACATTTGCTAAAACACCCACGACACTTCCACTCTCAAAAGAACTGGTACTAATACAATATGTCTCCTTTCATTGGAGGTACCCCGTAATGTTCCTAATTTACACAGCAGCATGTCAAAAACTCCCAAAATTACTAATTTACCTGGTTTTCTCTTTCTGGGGGATTTTCTGTCTTCCATTTCTAGCTTCTTTTCACTCTCCTTCCACCTGCGTACTTGTTCCTGCATATGACAAAATTATATAATACACTGTAATACATAGGATTAATGGCTATATAAACATAGCTTATATGCAGTTTAGAAGTGTATAATTGTGCACCTTGCCCATTATGCTTTCAATGGTTTTTGGTTAATTTTTTTTTTCTTTTCTTTTATCTTTTTCTATAAAATATTCATATCAGCAGAAAAGAAATTCTTCTTATTTAAAGTTAAAAAACCTTCAACATCAATATATCATTCCTTTTCTATGGTGATCTTGATCCTTCCTATAGCAGCTTTACACTATATATAGTCCCTACCACAAAATGTAGCTAAGTAAGATTAACATCTACCGTAAACAACTGTTTAATTAGAAGTAATTAAATCATACCATGAATCTAACTAGCTGAGATAATATCCTTTTCTTTCTTTTTGTTATTTATACTATAGTGACAAACCATATTGCAGTTTACTGATGAAACAAATTATAACAAACAACAGAGAAAATAAAAATGTTGCCTTATCTTTTCTCTTCCCTTTGTGGTTCAACCATGAGTGAGGTGTAATCATAGAAAATGGGTAAGTATGTAAACCAGTCCAAGAACAACACTGTTAAAGTGCTGGCAAAGAATTTCTATAAATAGTAATGGTGAACTTGACCTTGACCTTACAACCCTTAAATTTGACCTAAAATAAAATAAGTGTTTGAACTAAACCCTTCCAGGAATGAGACTGTTAAAATGCTGGTAATGAATTTCTAAAGATAGTAATGGTGACCTTGACCATACAACCTTGAAATTTGAACTCAAATGAGATAAGTGTGTGAAGTTTGATCAAAATCCCTCAAGGAATATAATGACAACGCTAGAGTGCTAACACAGAATTTTCATAAATAGTAAGAGTGACCTAACATTGATCCTAGAACTCCAAAAATTTAAACATGACTGTGAGAAAAATGTTATGTCACACATGTACGGGAATGTTCATCTCTTCCCTGATATTCATTGCAAGGGAATAAAACAACAAACAGAATATCGTAATTAATAAGTAACAAACTTAACATTGCAATTAATAAGAAACAAACAGAATATCATAATTAATAAGTAACAAACAGAACCTTGTAATTAATAAGTAACAAAGTAACAAACAGAACATTGTAATTAATAAGTAGTAAACAGAACATTGTAATAGACTTATAGAATATCAATATTTTCTGATGAATGATCAATATATTCTATTCATCAATATTTTCTTGTTTTCAATTCATTTAATCACTCCTGAAAAATATGTAAATAATCACCCCTCTGTGCAATTTAAGTCTTCAACAAGAAACAAATAAGATACTCAATCTAATATTTGATCTGATAAATGGACAGGGATATTTGTAGCTAAGTGTAAAAGTTTCACTTCAGCTTGTCTGCACGAGACTTGCCAATATATTGAGATATCCATGTTCCTGGAACAGACCCATTTTCTAATATATCATTCTACATACTTACAAATAAAAATTATAACATATTAAATGATGTCGTCATATACCATACTATTCCACTAATACACTTTATCAATAGCCAATGAAATGTGTATTTAAATTCTTACCTCTCTCATTTTAACAAACAAGACCTGTTTTTGTTCCTCAGAGAGCTCGGCCAGCAGCTCTGGGTCTATGTACATGTCTTGCAAAATCTGTTGCAGCATTTTGGCGAATTGTGTCTGAGCTCAAATTGATTAATCAGGGTATATAGTCAGCTTGACCAATACAAATTCACCAGTCACTTGTCAACAAGGACTTGGGCCTTGACAAATCGCTGCTCCCTTTGGCCACTTGTCCTCTACATCGTAGAATTATCTAGTGCATGTGACTTAAATTCAAATCATACACACTAATCTGGAATGAAAGAAATATCACAAATTAAGAAATTACACTTGAGCTGTCTACACCAGTTTAACATCATTTTTGACATGAAAGAAATGGGGAGGGACCAATGCCATTCATATAAATTGAAAATGATATATATTATTAACAGTCCAAAACTACAAACAAAGAGGTGTTCATTCATAGCCTGTTTCTTCTTAACAAGAGTAATGAATTACCATAAATTATGATTTAAAGAAATTCAATTTTCTATCTACAATAATAGTGTCATTAACCATCGAACTGTTAACCTGAAAAGTAATTCCAAGCAAGCACTAGATAAGTTTGCTTAACTCAAGAAAACTCTACTTATTCCAGAAAAGTCTTTTCGGGATGAAAGCACTGCCACCAATAAACTGATCTATATATTCAGACAGCAAAACAAAACCTTCTTTAAGAAGAGGCCCAAAGGCCTGAAAGGTCACCTGATTTACAATGCCGGTTTTGTATAATTATAACAAAGTTTAAACTTATTCGAAAATTAAATCACGCTCAAAAAATGTAATTTCCTGTGTAACCTGTAATAAACTTTACCCCCTTCACTTCTTTATCTCAAAAAACTACATGTAATTGATGACCATAAAAGTTAACACTGCACTGAAAAGTCATGTCTGCAGTTAGCTTGCTGAGTAATACAAATTTTCAGGAATAATTGTTAACTCCTAAAAAAGACCTGCAACACATTCAATTAATTAACTTTTTCCCTGATACTGAGGAAATAATTAACAATTAACAGGAAGTAGTGCTTTAATGCAAGTCTACAGAATGCACAACACTGATAGAAATACTCTCTACCTGACCTGAGAAAATGTTTGAATCTACACAAGATATATATATATACCTTTCCCATTATATATCATACAGACGAGATATCAAAGAAATTTTGACAGTTTACACTCCTACAAACCTTACATAAACACTGAAGATAATAAACACAGACCCTGCAAGGGATATGTATTTGTAATGACCTGTGAGACAGCTGAAACTTCAGCTGGTTTAATCTACAAGATTAAGTACAAATAAACTTTACATGTTGCTCACAAACACGCTGTAAGCCGATGTTTCACCCCTAAAACATCCCGAAGAATTAACCTCTCCTAAAGATTCAGATTTGTGATAGCAAATGTATTCTGTCAAGGCCTTGTTATCTTTAAAACATGAAGCAGACTCAAAATTTAATTCTGTTTTCAGCAATTTAAAAACTTACCAGATTTAGTATATTCTAATTCTCAGACGTCATAATTTATTCTTTAATTTTTTTTTCATGAAATGAAAATATTCGTTGTGGTGTGTTTGCCAGACTTAACAGAGATAGATAATCTGATATTTTAATCAATATATTTGTTAACCATTAAAAAACTTAAAAAAGATTTCTATATTGTGTAACCACAACCGACACAAATACTATTACTGTGTGCAAAACAGGTAAAGGGAATATTTAATGAGATGTGAGTTTACATATCAGCTTTGCAAGGATGTGACCAGCAGGGGTACACAGTGGCTGGATACAACTAGCCAACAACTGGGACAGCATGCCTTATGAATTTTAGATTTTGTGGCATATTTGATAGATTCAAAATAATTGTATACGTCCATGATAATGCATTATATAGACCCCTAGAAAACTGAGGGCACAAGCGTCTGTTTCTGGGAACATTCCCTCCAATAACAGCAATAATTCATTACCGCCGACTCAGAATTAAAAACACATTTCCATTAAAGTTCTGATCGTATGCAAGCTTACTTTTTCTCCTTTTCATCTTAAATATATTGAGCTTAAAAGACACCACCAGGATTTCTTACAAGCATTACAAACTATAAAGGTAACCATACACCAGGTGACCGAGATCTTCTCACGTCATAAGAATCTGTAACAGCGGTGAATCAGAAGGTTGGACTGTGTGTACAGGGGTACAAGGATGGCTGCCAAGTTCTTAATGACAGTGTCACTACTATAGTTCATATTCCAGTATCACAAAGGTTTTAATGAAGCAAAAAAAAATTGATTGAATAAAATTTCTTGTGCTAATTTGGAAAATAGAAAAAAAAATCCAAGAGGCCCATGGGGCCTAAATGGTCACCCGAGTGAACTTACAAACAAACCAAAACAATTGGAATGGATGTTCAGTATAGAGAAGAGAAAATGAGAGTTGTGGTAATGATCAGTATATTTTTTCATTATTACCAATAGACTGAAGGGACTAATATGGTCGTTTTTATAAAGGGAAAGTATCTGAAGTGTTTATCTTGATAAATATCATACTTGTGTATATTATAATAGTTATTTTACATGAATCATTGATGATTTATTCTTCGTTTGGATTTCCCGATTATTTCATCATTACTGAATACATTTTGATGATTTCGGTTGTCTTATCACAGATGACGTTTACATGAATAGCGTTAAAAAAACAACGGTACCCTACCCTGATTCAAATCAGTAGTGTGTGTGCTGGCTTCAGTCACTGCTCTTACTCTCCTTAACATTGACCACATCAAGTTATTTATTGTTCTTTCAGGGATATTATTCCACTCCTGAATAGGGTCCTGCATGACTTGAGCAATGTTATATAGATGTTGATGTGTTTCCTAACCCTCCTGTCCAGCTTGTCCCACAAATGCTTGATTGGGGACAAATCTGGACTGTATGGTGACCAATCAAAAGCAGGGATGTTGTTTTGAGTCAGAAAGCAAGACAAACCCTAGTAACATCAGGCGTTGTATTGTCCTGCTGCAATGTAAGATTATGTTGATAGATCAGATGGACATCCTGACATATGCTTCTGCTCTAAGATTGCCATGGATAACCATGAGAGGTGTTTTCACTGCTTTAGTGCCTTGGTGCCCACCATTGTTTGATCTTCATATGCTTTTTAAAAGTTGGATATTTTCCCTTCTTTTCTGTTCTCTTCTCTGTTTTTACTCTTAATAATAAGACATTTGAACATTCTTTTACAGGAATAGCGATGATAATCTTTACCTGCCAAATAAAAAATGGCTGTCTTGAAGCCATTTTGTTTCTTCTGATCAGTCCCAAAATTAAAAGAGCACAAGGAAAGACCAAAGGGAACATATGCATGCAATTTGAGAGATATCCATTCAGTACTTCTTAAGAATAAGCAAAAATAATCTTTACTATGCAAAATTCCAGATGGCTGCCAGTTGGCCATTTTGTTTTTCTGATCAGTCCTCAAACAGGCACAACCTAAAGAAACCTACATACAAAATTTGTGACAGATCTATGCAGAAATTCTCAAGAAATAGCTATAATAAGCTTGCAAAGTCGAAATCCAAGATGGCCATCTGTCAGCCATTTTGTTTTTCTGATCGGACCAAAAAATTAAATGGGCACAATTAGGGACCAAGGAGAACCTGCATATGAATTTTAAGAAACATTCATCAAGCACTTCTCAAGAAATAGCAATAACAAACTTTCAAAGTTAAAATACCAGATGACACCTGTCAGCCATTTTGTTTTTTTGATCAGACTCAAAATCAAATGGGCACAACTAAGGAGCAAGGGGAACTTACATATGGAATTTAAGAAAGACCCATCCAGTACTTCTCCAGAAATAGTGTTAACAAAAATTGTTTGCGCACAGATGGACGACAGACCAGGGATGCAGAGTGATCTGAATAGACCACATCTGATGATAGTGACTTAAAAACTTACCATTTTTTCCAAGAAATCAGACAGGGTTATTTTGTGTTTTTATCATTTTATCAAATTTTATCATGAAAGTAGGAAGTTCTTTTATCAGGTTCCACACACATTGTTCCAACCCTCTATTGTGGGCTATCAGGATGAGATGAGCTTTTTACATGGCAAAGAAATGCAAATGACAATAAAATTATCCATTTGTTCACAAGTGCATACATGTGCAGGCCTTTTAAAGGCTGTAGCATATCTGATCCCAGCACCATAGTTGGATCAAAGTCATTTGAAAAATCCCAATATAATGACTCAATGCCTCTTCCCCTCACAGAGATGTTGATTAAAGGATTTAACATTGACACATGTGACCTTGATAGTAAGTCCATAATGACCTTGCCTGTACACATGGCATGTGCATATTAATTGCAATGTGTTAAATGTTTTAGAATGAAAATCCCGTCTGTGAGAATCAGTGTGATGTTATTTGTATATGAATCTTATTATCATTACATCATAGTGGCTCAAAATATTTCTTGAAATCATGCAATTATAATTTCTACTACTACGAACTTTGTGTAAACATAATAAAAATACTTTACCTTGGAACAAGTCTGGATTACAACCACATGAATTTCAATACCAATGACAATGAAATATACTTCCTCTTTAACAGTTTAAGCATTACAATGATCCAGATCTACAAGGCTGAATATTTAAGTCAAATAAAAAATCATTATAGCTCTGGTACATGTACAAATGTACCTACAGTGTTGGTATTTTAATAATGAAATATACTTCCTCTTAACAGTTTAAACATTACCATGATCTATCTGGTCAAATGCAATTGTATTCTTCAGTTAGATAAGATCATACATGTACCTTCTATTTAGGTGTTTTAATATTGAAACACTTTGTTTGCCAATTACTGATAAATATTCCCACTTCCAGGATTTATGTTGTGCAAAGTTCAGCGTTTTTAATTCTGGTTTATGTTTGACACACAGCTGAAAGAGGATCACATTGATTACATGTTAGAACATTTATAATTTAAACTCAACATGCGTGCATTATGTAAGCACCATTCTGACAATGTCAATACATTTGGAAATCCCTTTGTTAGCAGTAACAATGACTATTCTGTAGGGGATATCAGTGGTTTTCTGATGACTGTTAAAGCCCCAGTTAAGATCATTACTGTTCTTATTTTGTTCATTCTTGATATTGTCTAACATGTCTGACACACACTACTTGTACCCTGCCGTAGACAGGAAGTTTGAAATCAATACAACACATAAAGGGCACATGGCTCCTTACAGTATTGTTAGGTATACTTTTGAAGCAGTTCAAAATATCCAAAATTAGTTCAAGTTAGCTGATGAGATAGTGACCCATGCATGAAACAAATAACTACATAAATTTACGATTTACATTATAATATTGTTAATTCATTTTTATCATATATCATTTTCAAGAGAGAAAACTCAATAAAGCAAAGGTGCAAATGTAATTATCTTACTAGTCAAATTATACATACATATGTAAAGGAACAGGTTAGTGTGACCTGCACATAGTGTTAAATATAGTCTCTATCACTCAGTTGGTATATTATGCTTTTCTAACGCACTTAATAGAGCCATACATTACAACATAGGAGACCTGGGTTTTATTCCTGTTGGGGCACTTGGCAGGAACATGTATTTTCCCTGTTCTTTCACATTATAATGACCCTGCCTGCCACAGGACACCACCATGTCAGCATAGATCTAGTGCAGTGCACTGTTACTTATGGTGCATAGCCGCTCTAATTCTTCTAATAAAATCTGGAATCGTGAATTTCAGAAATTGGTTTGAGTTGGGTCTTAATTAACAACTGCTGTCTGTAAACAAAATGGCGGTCTTCAGACTGTCCAATCTTTGGGACTACTTCAAGTTTTTCTAACAAAACAACAAGATGGATAAGTCAATCACAGTGTGTAAATTGTGCAACACCATCCTAAAGTACCAGGGTCAACAACATCAATGAATATTGATATTTCAACTAAACTTTGACTCAACTGACTGTAAAATGAAGTCCCTCTTACAATCAGCTGAAAATAGCAGATTTTGTCGATAGATGATTTTTTTTAAGAACTGTTTCTGAAAAAGTGTGAATACAATTTAGTCTTATTTAATTAAAGACAATCCGGTCTTAATTGCCAATTCCCACAACCTGACAAATTCAAAACTTTCTTTTACAATGCAATGCATCCTGTAGTTCCTTTTGATTTAATTGTTTTGTAGGTTTGTTGAGCCTCAATCAAAAGTATTCACTGTTGGTTTTATATTATGAGTGTTATTATTAGTGAATTGCTGACAAAATCATCCAAAGTGATAGAATTTATGAATAATGACTGTGTTTCTTGAATCTGTAAGAAATTATTTAAACCTAGAAGCTGTTAACCAAACCCAATTTAATTCCAAGAAAATGTGATTTGTCCCAGCCCTACATAGATCAGTCTAAGCATCCAATCCATCATGGGTACGGAGCCTCGTAGATCTTTACCTGAGGTTTCTTAGGCTAACACTCTAACTGACTGAGCTATCAAAGTCCTAGAGACCAGACTGATGGTTTTGTAATTGTTTTACACTGTTCTCACTTACAAAGGTAACATCACGTACTTGAATTGACCAAGATCTGCATTGAGAGGTGGGGGAATGGTGTCATCTGTCATCGATAAAGCAAAAGACACTTACTCTTAAGGAACACCCTGTCTTATTATCCATGTTTTATCTACAGGAGACTCTGTGTTTATCATTTTTTTGTTCATATTTTGCCCTAGTTTCATTGAATTTAAGTTTGGATTAAGGTTATGTTCATGTGTCAGTATTTCTTTTTTCCCTGTGTAATGTACATATATGTACATATTTATATATATGTAACTGCAACTAAATATATTGCTTTCTGTGTTGATTTTTTTTCCAATTTCAAAAGATGGCTATCATGCCAACATGTATATGTCAAGCATAAGTACACAAATGATTATGGAAATGTGCTCAGAGAAATTGCAGCTGTCTAGCTCGTTATAGGAAAATATATATCATTCTTCTGAATTTCTCTTACCATTAACTGTATTGTTTGAAATACAAATTCTATTATTATAACAAAACATACAGAGATCAGCTGTATGATTGTTCAAAGTTCGTCAATTTTATTCTGTTTCTCGAATATCTATACATTATACCCATCATTGTCTCAACACAGGTGTTTTTTGCATTTTGTGTTAAATATTTTCAGAAACCAGGTACTGGCCTGGTGTTGAATTTTAAGTATCTGATAATCTTATTTAGTACTCATGCCATCCTCAAAATAACATAGGTACAGCATGATTCATTTTGGGGGCACAACTAATTCAAGTAACCTTTATAGCTACAGAAGTTTGAAAACTTTGAGGCAGGATTTATAAAATAAGAAACACTAAAAATATAACTAGATGTTGATAAGACATTCCTAGCACAGGACCTATACCTAAGACTTGAGGAATTACTGTCACTGTCACAACAGTGTATTAAACCAAGAGATGTAACAGTAAAGGTCATACACAAACAATATCTGTCAAGTGGTCGCCACTGTACACCTGATTACCTGGTGTCTGTCACCTGTGGCTCACCTGTGTCTATATAGACACACCTCTCTCACCTGGAATCTTCACTGGCATCTAATTCTATTTACACACATTTTCTGGTGCTGTAATATTTTACACTTATATATGCATGCTTCTTGTGCAACAAATGACTCTAATCAAAATGTGTGTGTGTGTGTGTGTGTCAGTGAGGATGGGATATTTTTCACGGCTATCACTAATCACTAATTTCAGGGTATGTTTATCTTCCATGTCAAATCAGTGTAGAGTTTTATGTGACAGATCACACTCACCAATTAGTTATGACAACATACAAATTAATTTCCAGTATCAAATATTTATTACGATGATATAACCTCACCATCTGTGATATCACTTGTAAAGGGAAGAGAAAGTGAAACAGGTACCCAACATATATCGTCTATGTTTTTTTTCTTATGTAAAGCATATCGGACAGGTGCTGTCTTTTTCTCGTTAGTGTACAGTATTTTCATGTGAATCTTCTCTTACAACTGGTCATTTTAGTCAGACTGTATACGATAAGATGAGATAAATTATATCAGCAATTTTTGAAGGATTCTTTTTGAGAGTCCAGTCTAGAGCGCATTTCAAATGTTTTGATGGGTCCAGTTATAAGGAGATAAGTGGGTCTGCAAAATATGCGTCCAGGGCTAAAATATTTCAGTCCTCAAAAATCAGTGATTACATAAGTGATACAATGCAGGTCCCTATATAAATATTGTAACATTGTCATATTTCTCGTTATGTGATTAATTAAGGTATACCAGTAGGTATTCTCCACAGAAATTAACTGTTAATGGGAGTGGGAAGCTGAGGAGGTTAGACTAGTTGGGTATAATACGAGATGTGTGGGTTAGGGGATGATAGATGAAAGGTTCAGTTTTGTGCATATGTTTGGCTAGGTCTACATGTTATTGTCACTGTTTGCTGTGCAATATCTGTAGTAAATATCAATGCTGTATACATCATAAATTGCTACATTGCAATTTGATTCTCACGATAGCTCAAGTACCTAACAGGGGTTGACACCATTGATTCAAAGTGTGACTTTGGTATAGTTTGCAACACAAACTTGACCCCTCTCACTCTTATTTACATTAAAGTCATAGCTTGATTAGAATGTCATGATAGACATTAATTTTCAATGTGACTCTACACTTGAAAGCATTAAATCCTAAGACAATCATGACTTAGTCATCTCATTGAAGAAGTTGGTTTCAAATATACGTCTCTGGTTTCAGTGATAATTCATACACATACATACGGTACATTATATGAAACAATTCACAGAATCTTGGTTTATATACTTCTAAAGACTTTAACCCAAACAGATAGTGGACAAAATGTAATGATATGACCAAGTCATAAGAAGCTAATATTTTCATTTGAACACAGCAGACAACTGAACCACATACAGGTTACCATCCAGTTTCACTTAACTGTTATCTTGAGTTGTCAGTGAGTCACATTATTGTTACAAAAACTCGGCTTATTTAGTAAGGTGCTAAAACCCAAACTATGCTGAAGGCTACATAGTAAATACCTCACGCTAGTATTTTTATCAAACCCATGTGAAAGGTTCCTGTCTCAATATACCGTATCGTAATAAGACATAGCTAATTAGTCTACAATATGACCACGATATTCTTCTCTATTCTCGTTTAAAAAATCTATCTAGTATTTGTTAGCTTTCCCCGAAAGACAAGCATGCAACTTAGTGGTTCTATCAATACTCCGAGAGGATGTTGATGTTACCGACTCTCGTGGTTTCAGACACGCAGCATCAAAAACCCTCAGTCCATGAGACTACAGTAGTATGCCTAACTGACTTGGATAACCAAACTGAGCATCGTCAGATTTCAGACGACGTTCATGGGAAACGAACTGTAACGAAAAAGACAACGCCATACCTAAATAGTATTCGTTGGTTAATTAGCTGGCCATGAATAACTTTGTCTTCATCATCTAGTCCATGTTCATTTTCTTCCTGAAGCTGTATCCCTTTACCGTCAAAAGAAAAGAGCTTCCCACAGAAATCCCTTTCGGTGTTCAACTTCCGTTTCAGCTTGGATTGATTTAGACGACAGGTGGCGCTGTGCAAACACGGAAGTAAACATTGCAAAACGCGGTCGCCCGTGAAAGCACTGTGAGGTTCTATATTTATAACTTCAACGAGGCGATCATTATCTTTTTATGTACCAAGTTACAAACAGGTAGTTCTAAACGTTTAAATAAACCAAACGAGACGCGAAGTATACAGTAATTATGATATCTCCTCGTTTATGACAATTTGGCGCACAGCTAACTATGCGTTACTCTTATCACGATCGGGTCAAAATGATCCGAAGCACAGCAGGGCCAACTCATTCAAAATTTCTCTATTTTTCTAATTTTATTGTTTTTCTTCATATGAGTACTTAAATACCAAATAAACCGTATTACGAAAAACCAATTCGTTCCCCGTTGCGCAGATATTTACGAACCACACATTTACAAGGTTTTTAAAAATATTTTTCTAATATTTGAACAACATTCATGGAAAGATTTGGTACTTGCTGAATGTTCTTAGATGATGATGAAATTTATTTATTCTCCTGTTACTAACCGTATGTAATGAAGAGGTAAAATAACATGTCCACAAGTATTTATGGGCACGATCATATACTGAAGACATGACAGTATGTAAAATAGTGTGAAGGGTTTTATCTATCCGTGATTTTATTGGTCTGTAAACAAGACCAAACGAAATCGCAGATAGGTAGTCAAAACCAGGGACGTAGAATATATTATTATACGTCCCTGTCAAAACCCTTCAGACTAGCTGTAAAACAGATGTCACCCTGCGATAATGATAGTTATGAGACGGGAAACAACCTTTCAATCTCAATTTCCTATGTTTTCTTTTACTTCCTGCCTCCTACTGCTTTCGTGTTTGAAAAACATATTTTTTGGAAATATTCGTATTTCGGTTCAACATAAACTGATACTGTTTTTATATTAAATGCATCTGAAAGCAATGACAATCTTGATAATTAATTTTAGCATGTACAACTGACCTGAATAGGTAAAATAGATCTAGAAGGAAACCTTTAAAAAATCCTACGTGAATCAAAGACTTTGACCAAATTGGTTTAAGAGCATACATGGATGAAGACAGCTCAGTTTTGTATTGATCAAGATGACAGCTATATAGACATATGGAAAATGGGGTGATGCCTAATAGAGAAAATTTAAGTACATGTTGTAGGTATTTTTTTATTCAGATAAAATTAATTAAGTCTTCAATCAATACGTTGAAGTCATTTTCCTCATTTTTATATCCAGTAAATTCTCAAAGGTGAAGCAAAGAGGTATCCTGTGTATAACACATACACTGAAGATCTATAAATATAACACATCTAGTCAGCTCAAATTACCCAAATTCAGAAGTAAGAAAAGAGAAAACGATTAGACAAAGAGAAGGAAAAAAGAACTGCACTGCACAGGTCAAGTGCTCAGTGATCATTCTTCAGAACAATATATGCAATACATACTTAACACTAGTAGTTTACCTTTTCAGGGCCTTCTAAATAAAAGGTACATTATTAATACATGACGAAATCAACGCAAATACACATACCTTTACACAAATGTTAGAAATGGTATGAATACACAGGAAAAAAGACGAATACACATAAGATAAATAAAAATATACATGTGAGTGCCACAATTATATGTGGTCAAACGGTTTCTTTTATGTTAATAATTTTCCATATTGAGATAATATATTTTGGACAGTTTACATACAAACTTGTTATCAATCCTTAGTTATCACATTTCATATCTAGGTTTTCCTCAGTCCCAAATCATCATACATTATTACTTTTAGAACTGATTGGAAACAGCCCATAAAGATAAAAAAAAACAAGAGGACCATGGGCCTTTAAAGTCATCTGACTATAAAGACCTATACATGAAAGAAGCACAATAGGACTAAATTTAATTTCTCAACTTCTCTACAGCATACATAGAAGACATTGTTGGTGCATGAAGACATTTTCTGCAAACTTTAAATCATATACTTTATACATGCACTACACAATTACCATTACTCCAGTATTACTTGTTGAAAAAGCAAGCTACAGGCTCAAATTAAAACCCTTGTCCTTTCCGTTACTCAGAAGAAGTTGCTGAAGCATTTCAACATATTTGACCCCTGTGACCTTGAAATTTGGTCCAATATAAGCACCTTGGGCCTTTCGGTTATTGAGAAAAAGTCATTTAAACACATTTGATACCTGTGACCTTGAAAGTAGGTCAATGTCATTCATATTAACAAAGTTGGTAGTCCTTTATCCAAGCATGTTACAGGCGTAATATCATCACCCTGGGCCTTTTAGTTATTGAGAAGAAGTCACTTAAAGATTTTAACATATTTGATCCCTGTGACCTTTTAAGTGTATCAAGGTCATTCTTATCAACCTTCTGAATTTAAGAAATGATTCTTCACTCTCAATGATGTTTCAGACATTATTATTATGACATACTTAACGGCCTGTCAAAACATAAAAGGTCATTAGGGCCATCAACCAGTAAAAAACAAAAATTTGGTTGAAATCCATTCAAACATTAGAAAGGTTTTGAAACACAATATTTTTGAATTGAAGAAATAATTTCCTACTCTTACTGAGGCCAAAGCTTGTTGAAATTAACCCAAGCAGAAAAGAGGGGTAGGGTTTTAAATCTAATTTTCAGCACCTTCCCCTTTGTGGCCCTGTGCGCAGAGCACATGGTCAGATGACCTAACAAGAGGCATTGCTGCCTTGACGATCACCTAAGATAAGCAATGTTGAATATAAACATCAAAGGGTAGTTATCAAGTGTCATGAAACAAATTGTGATGCTGAATATAGTAAGCCAGTGTCAATACATGCATACCATCAAATCTGTCATCCTATACTAATAATTCTTACAAAGTTATTTCCTGAGGGAAATAAGCAGCGTTATGCTAAAAAATGCCATTTTTTAATGAAAATTACTGTCAAGTCATGAAGAAATGCGAGACCCATTTTGGTTATTAAAACACCTTCCATGCTACCCTTCACCCAGGGCATTTGATTCTACCATATCTGGGTGTTAAGAAGATTTTTGAAATTTATGTCAATTTGACTCCTTTTGGCCTTACCCATTATCTCTTTTGGGGGTTAGCCAGGTAATTTTTCAAGGGTCAAAATTTTCATGATTTTCTTATGAAATAGTTGAATTATATTTTACCAAATAAAAGAATATAAATTTTTTACATGTCCCATATTTCATTATTATATTTTTACAACCATGTGGGGATATGCATATGAAATTTGAGAATAGCTGTCCAGTACTTTGTTTGAGAACTGATGGATAGGTTCCATAGATGCAGAGCAATTACAAGGCTGCAGTCCACCTCCAATAATGACAAGCAAATAATAACAGAAATATCAAAGCCTTCACATATATTTATTTTGACATAGAAATAAAACAACGATGTGAGTATAGTTTGTACAATTGTAATGCTGAGTCATTTACCAGTCTTCCTTTATAGTGACATACAGAAATATCTACAGATCCTACAAACCCAATTTTTCCGTCTTTAGCCCTCGCATGACCATCATATGGGTTTATAAACACGACACATATTGTATCACATCAAAAACAATTCTGTTCTTTACCTACATTACAGCTTTGTTAATCATCATTCCTTGCCAGTTATCTTTGTACAGGATTTTTTTCTTGGGAGTTCAGAACACTTATTTAAAAAAATTTTGTGTATCGTAAATAATGCTATAAAGGATTCTGAAAATGCATCGGTGAGTACCAGAGGGAAAGTATATATGCCTGACTAAATTATCGGAGTACCAAATATCACCATGGTAACGAGTGCTCTAACACAATATGTACATCACAGGATAGACTGATTACAGTTACAGCACTGCAAACATATATACGTTATAAAATAACCATAATGCATATGATCTAATTTTGATGTTTGGATAAAATTTTACTCACGATGAAAAATCTGCCACCTCTTCCTTATGGAAAAGTCACAAAATATATACACTAGTATGTAAAATCATTAATGAAACAACACACTATACATTGGTAAAAATGATAATTTGAATATATATGTACAAACAGAATGCTATACATGTATATCATTACCATGATATTTATTGTAAACATACTGTACCAACACATTGCTATTTCCAAAGTTCTATGAAATAAACAGTTTCTACAGATCTGTGAAAACTGCCCCTGCAAACCAATCATATATAATCAATTTCCACAGATCTGTGAAATCGGCAGCAAAACTTGATCCTGACATGTACCAGTAAGCTGTCTTTACATAAATATGCAGCTGCACACATATCATTGCAAACTGATAAAAATGATTCCTCAAATTATTTTTATTTTCTTTCCAGCTTTGGGGGGATACGCCCCCACCCCAAACCCTCTACCAAGACATCAGCCCTGGATCCTGAGTTGACAGCTTCAGCCCCCAGCAACCCCTATGCATTCCTGTTTGCATACATGTCAAAATTACTTTGATACACACCTAACTTTGTTACTATAAAAGAAACTTATCACTACATACTTGAAGACAAGCAAAATCTATTGAAGTCACTTTCCATTAGTAAAATGTAAAAATGACATTAAAAGTATTGTGATATTAAATGACACGTTCTCAGCAATCGATAAAACCACAAGTGAACTTCTTACTCTTGTGTCATTATTGAAATTCTTATATCAGGTGTTAAATAGATATTAATGTGGTTTCTCTCTTCAGCTAAAGTAAATCAACCTTTCTTTGTTTATTTCTTTGTAATATGCAGCTAACATTCAATGAATGTCTTATAGGACAATAATACCATACTCTATACACTACTTCAATAACATTAACATGTATGCCTCTCCGTTGTATGTTCTCTTCAGAATACATTTCCTGTAATCAATGTTGTTGTTGACATACATCTGTCAACTGATTTGGTTCATTTGTACAAGGAGTTTAAGGTACAAGTTTTAAGTTTTGCAGTGAAGTGTTAACAAAAATAGTCACCAGAATGATGAACTCAAATATTTTGAATTACAATTTTTTTTTAATAATATCACAATATATAAATTTGTTTGGATTATGAAATTTCATCAGATGCTGCATGATAAAACCCTTCTTTATGAAGATCTGGTTACAATATATATATATTAAAAAACAAATGATGACAGCTTTTCTTTAAATACAATACATTCAGGTATTATCATTAAAACAACACTCTTTTTTAAGCACACAGTATAATTTTTTCTGGGATCAGTTGTTAGAGAAGTTTTTGACATTGTATCAGCACAGATGTATATAGTTCCTTAATAAGGTACAGAAGTGGTCATTTTCTATTTGATTGGTTCTGTGTGCAGTTGGTGAAATTCCTGCACATCTTGTGTTGTGTACAGGAAACATGTCCTTTTAAGGAATCATGATTTAAATCCTTGTAATACATACTGCTTGCATTGGTTTTATGTCTGATGAGTCATTAAAACATAAATTATCGGATAGCACAGACTAGATCATTTGCATATCCGTTTCACATTGTTTAAACTTAATCCAGCTATATATATTTATAGCCTATACATGGCTACACATTTGGTCTAGGCCTCTTACCTACCAAATGTATCCATCATTTAATGTTACTGTATTAGGTAAACCTAACTTAAGCCATCCCTTTCCTGGTTATCACAATCTTTGTCAATCATCTACCAAAATTTTTTCTCCCATGATAAAAGATAACATGAAGTGATATACATGTATTAAGAAACACTGAATCAATTTACCACATTTTCATTTACATAGATTATTTAGGGATAACATTTTTTCATCGAAACATGATTTCAACCAAAAAGTGGCATTAACTTAATTTCAATATATTTCAGACTTTTTTTCAAAATACAGGCTTTATTTAAATTAGATAAATCAATATATTTCAGACTTTTTTCAAAATACAGGCTTTATTTAAATTAGATAAATAAAAAATTCATGCTACACTGCACTACAGCTAAGTTTCCTGGTATAGGACAGTCTTGGAAGAAAATGAATATACATCAGTGTAGCAGCAAATATCCTTAAATAAGAAAAAAACAAATCATCTTGGAAAAAACAAGAGGCCCATGGGTCTTAAGGGTCATCTGACTATAAAGACCTATGTATGAAAGAGGCCAAATAGGCCTAAAACAAATTGCTCAACTACACAACAGCTTACATAAAGACATTGGTTAGTTCATAATGACATTTCTGCAAACTTGAAATCGTAAACAAATGTACACTAATGCCGTTACTCCGCACACATTTTTTGTTGAAAAACAATGCTTCAGGCCCTATATCTGCAACCTGGGCCTTTCGGTTATTGAGAAGAAGTTGTCTAAAGATTTCAATATTATACCCATGTGACCTTGAAAGTGGGTAAAAGTCATTCATATTAACAAACTTGGTAGCCCTTCACCCAATCATGCTTCAGTTCCCTGAAAGTTTGGCTACTGAGAAGAAGTTGTTTTAAAGATTTTTACAAATTTGACCCCTGTTATATTGAAAGAGGGTAAAGGTCATTCATATTAACAAACTTGGCAGCATTAATTTCATCATGCTATGGGTTCAATATCAGTACCCTGAGCCTTCTGGTTATCGAGATGTAGTAATTTGAATGGAAAGTTTATGTATGGCGGAAGACGGCTGACGAAACACGAAGGCTATAGGTCATCCTGACCATTCAGGTAAGATGACCTAATAAAATTAAGTTGGAATGAAACATTTTTGGTAAAAAGAAACATTACTTCAGTAATGTGACATATATCCTTAATTTAAATCAAAACTTCAGAAAGTTTTTGAACTTAAAGCGGGAAAGTTTAGGTCATAATATACCGGGTACATATGAATTACAGTCTACAGAGTAAAGGTCCTCATCAGTTGTTCTTCTTAGATGCTTCAGAATATGATGGGGGTGGGGCTCCATACTGAGGTGCACCGTATGGAGGGTTCTGGTAGGGAGGGGCCCCGTTGTTGGGTACGTACACATTGTGAGGGTTGGAAGGGTTGTAATAAGCTCCTCCAGCAGCCTCCTGGGCTTTCAAATCTGTAAAATGTAACAAAAGCCAAAATGAGAACATCAACTCTAAATCTAAACTGTATTTGCAATATATGCAATAATACTTTGAAACATCTCCTTATCCAGAAATCTGTGGCTCCATTTTTTATGATGTCATTCTGGAATTATGATAGACATATTTTAAATAAATTCTCAGGTGTCATTGTTACAATTTTTTCAGTGTCACAAATATATCATGTCAACTGATTCTATCGCAGAACTTCAGTCAGCCTTAGACACCATAAAGGTTGTGATTTTTTATGGTTACAATTATTGTGAATACACAAAATTTGAGGCAAAAAGCACATAAATTTGACAGAAAATGTGTTTTTATCCATATTTTATCCACATATACATCTGTATTTCATAGTTTTAATGATACATGTAATACTATATTTAACTGAAGTTGTTCTGTACCTGCAGCTGTGCCATTGGTCTGGGGTGGAGGATAGGAAGGGCATGAGGGGTCTACCCCTGGGTATGGAGGTGGGGCATCTGTAGTGTACACATACTCAGCTGAAAGACAACATATATTACAATCAGTCTGATGATATTAATCAGTTGATATGTACATCAGGATGAAGTTATTGTAGCAGGAAGTTTTATGATAGAAATAGTACAGATCTTCATGACAAGACAAGCACTACTTAATTGTGATCATTAGTCTCCTAGCAAGAACAGAGGGGTATTAAGCTTTGTGTTGTGTCCATCTGTCCTTTTGCACTTTTATTATCTACCTCCTACACTACCTGTCACTGGAACTTCATATTTGGGGCATGGGTCAACCTAGGTGAGGCAGTAAGTCATGTATGAATAGTTGATTGCTTAAACCTCCATTTCAACCTTTGATCTAATTCAAATAAAAAATTTTCTAATATCCACTGAAACATTGCACATGGGTCAACCTAGGTAAAGCAGCATGCCATGTAAAAAAAAAAAAAGGGTAAATTTTGCTTACATCTTTGACCTTCAACCAGCATAAAAAAAGGTTTATTCAGGCCTCATCTCAGGCACTTCTTGTCACCAGAAATTTTTATTTAGGTCTCAGGTTCATCCTACTTGGTGCATTGGCTACATTATTAAGTAGATGAATATATTCATATTGAAGGGTGTAGTCATACTTACGTGGTGGGGCTGATGGGAATGTTTGGTAGGGTACCCAACCATAGTTTCCCTGTGGTGGAGTATAGGCTGGGGGTGGGGCCTGATACACTGGACCCTGGGGGGGAGTGTATGCTGGAGGTTGGTGGCGAAAATTCCTGGAGGCTGAAAGAACATCAAAACAAAAACTTTAGGAATTCAATAGTTCCACAATGTATGATGCAGCTACTTAAGTATTAGTGATTGTAACTCGACCATTCATAACTTAATATAATATGATAAATAGATTTAATAAAAAAAATACACCTTTGAGGAAGTCTATACACAAGAGGCCCAGTAGACCTGTATCTCAAATACAACTGTTTGGTTGACAACAGTAAATATTGCTTATGTTTTATTGATCTTATATGACTCCCAGTACTATGGAAGACTATACCTTTAGAAGTATCTGTTTCTAAAAAAAAAGTTTCAAGGAACTTTAATTATGACCCCTGCAACTAAGTTAGGTGGGGTATATACTGGAATCAGCTTGTCTGCCTATCTCTCCATTAAAAAGTTTTGTCCATACAACTTCTCCTAAACATGTGAACCAATTTCAATGAAACTATAAAGGAATGTTAGGGGCCATGTGTAGATGTGCATGCAGGTATTTTAAGCAGAAATTTGGGTTGCACTGGTAACCAGGTCACTATAAACAGGTTTTTATGTAATGGCCATAACTCATCAATCCTTTCATCAACTTTATTGAGACTGTGAAGTGGTGTGATTTATCAATATTAGTAATTTCACTCATCATATGTTTCTAGAACTGTTACTCTGGAAAAATGATGGAGGCTCCTGATGGGTCGAAATTGAGATATTGTCAGATTGAAATTCAAAATTGAAATACAAGAGTTATGAGAGAAGGCAATTACAGTGGTACCACTTCCACAAATATCTGATGTCACTATACACAAGTTTCCAAATAAAGTGCCATAACTATTAGCCCTTGAATTGATTTTATTTAAACTTGATAAGTGCTATAGCTAATTATAACCTTTAATTTCTGATGTTGTTTGTTGTGTCCTTATTTGGGAATGTGTTATTACTTACTTCAATTGACCAAGATTTACATGCCAGTATCATTGATGAAGCAGAAGTTGCTTACTATTCCAGAACACCTGATCTTATTCCTGTGCTTTTTAAAGCATCTTCATGTACCTGTAAATCTTTTCTTTTGTTTTGTTTTTATTTTATTCTTGGTTCATCAAACTTGAGTTTGAATGAAGATTCTGTTAATGTCAGGATTTTCTTTGTCGTTTTTATAGACCCTGAGCCATGACCTTAGCTGTACACAATATACATCACTCTCTGGTCATTTTGAATAGTTGGGCTAGTAAGAAATGACAAGTAAGTCTTGATTCTCTCCAAAACCTGAAGTCTAAGCCAGCATAGACAACTGGATAGTTAATAGCTTCACGTCAAAGTGTAGGTAAGTAACTTTTATCTATATGGTTCCGATATATCAAATCCACAATACTTACCTACGTATATGAAAATTGAGCAGATTGATTGAGAGTGATTCTCTTGAAAATTCATGCTGTCCTAATATCAAATGCACTTAACAATAATAAATACAGCTGTATAGATTATATTCAACCTAGAAGCATCCATGTTCTAACACATTCAGGTTCTCATCGATGTGAACATTTGATAAGTTTTTCATCCCGTTTATAAGCAAATTTTATCCCCAAAGCAATGGAAAAATACCATTAATTACCACTTGTAAGTAAATGAACAACTTTACTATTGCAATAAAAAAAATGAAGAAAGTGACAATATTTCTGTTATGAATAGTTCTGATCTCAAAATAGTCCTGTTAAGCACTCTGACAACCTTCAAATTTTCCAGTTTTTTGGGTGCTTAATAGGTCAAATAGGATAGAAATCTTTCCACATACCTAGTTGACCAGCCTTCAACATTGCTGTACCAAACTCTATGGCCCCACCACTTGTAAACCAGAGCTTGAATCTGCAGTCTCCCATCCAGCCTGTTGAGAGAGAGAGGTGGAAGTACAGTCAACTATGAAAAATTACCATGTTATTGAATCATTTTCCATTGAGAAAATTCCTGAATATCATGACTGAATTCAGGACAAACAAGACATGTTTATGTCTTTGTTTAAGACACTATGTCCCAGGTCTAAACAAAATTTTGAAGTGGAACATTAAATCTGTACTTTGTAAGGCATGTGCTAATTGCATGCACATTTTGTGAAACACTTGTGGTGATGCTTTATTTCAACTTCATAACAAATATAGGTCAAAGGTCACTGTCAAGGTCACATGGTAATGCAATAATTATGGTCAATGTTAAAATTTTTCAAATGTAGGTAAAAGGTCACCGTTAAGGTCACATGATACCACCAGAAAGGTCTTGTCACAAGGAACATACATGCCAGATATGAAATCCCTACCTCTTATGGTGCAATAGTTATTGGCAAGGTTAAAGTAGACAACAGAGAAACAAACAGAGAGCAAAAAAACAATGTGGCAAAGTCAGCCCAAGTCAATTTTAAAAACCCCTTTATGGTACAATAACGACATTCAAGTGGGCAATAGATATATCTGCTATCCAGTATTGTTTAATGCTAGTATATATACCATCAATTACCTGATTAAAAAAAACTGATCGTTTGACATTTTTCTCCTTTGATGAGTTTCTTCATAAATTTTCAATCAATACCAACTATTTACAGTATCATGACTTGATTACAGCCGTCAAGTGTTTCTTGAGAAAACAAAAAGGTGCCAAAGATTTCTACAATTCTATTATTAAACCAGCACCAACCCCTACTGGTGTTCGGAAAAGGAGTGATGATTTTGACTTTGATGATCAGAAGTGGAAAAATATATTAATAATTCCGTTAACTTTTACAAAAAGTTCTAATCTACAGTGGTTTCAAGTAAGGATTATACATCACATTCTGGTTACGAACTCCTTTCTTTTCATTTTATTATATATATATATATATATATATATATATATATATATATATATATATATATATATGTATATATGTATTCATGAGTGAGTATATGTGTGTGAGGAAATATCTTTGATAAGTGTAGGTGATATGATTTTGTATTTGTGTGTGTGAGTATTTTGTTAAGTACATCTAAGTTTGCTATGTGAGTGTAAGTGGGTGTAAATGTTGATGAGTGAGTTTGTGTGCAGGAAGTAGTAGATACATGTGCATGATGATAAAGATGGTGATGATGATGATGATGATGATGATAAAGATGATGATGATGAAGATGATGATGATGATGATGATGATGATGATGATGATGATGATGATGATGATGATGATGAAGATGATGATGATGATGCATGTACATGTGTAGGAAGTATTCAAGTCATAGCACACAAGTGTGAGAGTGTGAGTGTATGTTTTTGTGTGGTTTCTCTTGCATATTGTGTATTGTGTGATTTGTAAAAACTTGTCGAAAAATAAATGAATTACAAAAAAAAAAAAAAAAAAAAAAAAAAAAATAATGCCCCCCCCCCTATCTTTCGATCCAGGGCATAAAGAATTTTGAAGAAAAATTGGCCAAAATGAATGTCAAAAAATATAGAGGGATGAGTACTTAACAGATAGTTAAAACAATTACATATTTTTCATATAAAAGATCAAATGATAATCACATGTTTACACTTTGAGTTACGGAACAAGATAAAATACACAGAAGTGAAGTGGTTAAAACCAGTATTTCACATGAATGCATGAGATTGGAGGTACCTGGTATATCCCCTCTAAGAGCTAAAGGAACAGTACAAACACATTTTGACCTTACCATTATTCTCTGGATTAATTTTCCCTTTGATGTAATTTGCTCCAAATACCGGTTGTTCTAGTTCCACCTCTCGCATACAGTAGAACGGCATACTGAAGGACTGGAGCATGTCATCTGTTTTTTTATTGGTGAAGATAACCTATACAACATTCAGGACAAAATATTCAATATAAATCCAACGAGAGTGTTAATTATAACAGCAAGTTAATAAATCCATTTTATGATGTATACTTTACAGTGAACCACAAATACAAACGGTGAGGACATATGTGAAACCCTGAAACACTACACAAACCTTCAGATCAATATTTGGTGTGAATCATAAAGTATTTAGAAAACTTGAGGTACAGAACAAACTGACAGACCATAACTAATTAATCTTCATTAATATGCATAAATAAACAAGTGAAGATTGTTGATCAATTCCAATATTCACTTTTTACAAATCTTGACACCAAATTAGGTATCAATCATACAGCAATATCGAAAGTATGAAAGACAGACAAGCGAATGGAAGGAAGGAGAGACTTAATGTTTAAAGTTGATAGGAAATCCTTATTTTCTTTTGAAAAAGTGTATAACCTTGACCAGGAAAGACTCCCTACATCTGCTGTTGACCATCACATGCTATCTTAATAATCTTCCAACCCATAGAATCATGTTTTTAGTTGACCTTGATTCCTATATGTTTATCACCACTATGACCTTGACTTATGTGCAATATTTGAACTGTCCATCTTCAGTCCTTTATTAAAATAAACACTACCTTCATACCTTGCCAATCATGACCTCAACACAAGCATTCCTCTACTAGTTGACATGGATCAAAGACTTTACTCATCAAGTTGACTTTGATACAGAATCATTAACCTTTTGACCTTTACACTTACATTATACAAAGATAAATCTTTGACCTTTACCCTATATACTTACCCTATGTGTTGTTAAGTAAATCCTTCCCTTCTTGTTCCCCTTGAAATGAGCCAGGTCTTTACAATCAAAGCCCATCTCGACGCCATCACAATAAACAAGAATCCTGTAAAAGAAATGAAATAAATTGTACTTCTTCTGGTATATACCATAAATGTTTAAAGTATTTATAGACATAATGATACATAGCTATTCTAACTCCAAGCATTTGAAAATGATATATATATTTCATTTTTTGATACCTTCATGTAGGCAGATTTCCAGTGAACAAGAGGTCAGATGGACCTGCATCACTAACTTGGTATTCATTCACATAATAATTTCAAGAAAACGTTAAAATTTCACATAATTGACATTCAAAGTCTTAGTTTATGTAGAGAAGTTGTTGAGAGGTTTTAACATAATTGTTCAAGAAACAGAAACCAGTCATGTACATGTACCACCATTCTAAACTTCAGAAGAAGCTGTCTGAAGGTTTTAACATCCGACTCCAATGACCTTGAATATAGGTCAAGCTTATCACATTAGAGTCAAGCTGTATGCAAAGAATCTTTCAGACAAATAACATGATTCCAGGCTTTTTGATGAATCAGAAGTTGTTTCAAGGTTCTAACAAATCTGACCCTTATGACCTTCAATATAGACAAAGTAATTTCTCTATTACTTAAACTGGCTGTCTTCTCTGGAACCTATATATACAATGTTCCAGGTTATTACTGAACATGGAAATTTGGCTTATTAGAAGTCATTTGAATTTTTTGACACTTGTGACCTTAAATATGGTTCAAGGTCATTTCCTTTTGCAAATTTTGTTGGGCTTCATCCCAGAAATCTACTTGCAAAATATAAGGCCTTTTGGTTTATCAGAAGAAGTCAACAAACTTTCCCCCTGTCACATAATCATAAAAATCTCTTGCTTCATATGTTGGGTGATAATGGTAGAATCAGTTCAATTAAATTGCACTGCAAGGAGGACATCAGTTTTGTTCCTGATGTCATAAAAGGCAACTAAATTTGGGGACTTATCCCTTCAAAGTTTAGTTTAAAACTATTTCTATTGTCTCTTTTGAGTGTCTTTTTTGGATTTCTTTATATCACATGTATGACATTGTATCATATGTATGACATTTATATCACATCACATGTATGACATTTATATCACATGTATGACATTTATATCACATATATGACATTCATATCACATATATGATATTTATATCACATGTATGACAATGTCCCTCGACAAAGTCCAAAGGAGGAGTCCCAAAAGCAACAAATATCTGTAACTGTATTATTGCCTCATAGATACCCAACTGGGCTATGATATGACAGGAGAGCACCTCAGATGCGAGGCTTCATAGCGATGAGCTTGAAAGACTCTACCATAGTGCTCGAGACAGTACTGTATTCCAGATGGTTCCAGTCAACTGCAGTGCACACAAAAAAGGGATTTCTGTATTGTTCAGACTTGCCGTGTGGAATGTCTCATTTACTACTATTTCTTATTGATGATTTAACAATGTGGAATGTTTCACAGTTCTCAGATGTTTTTGCTTTGATTCTACAGTTTTATTTCTTGAAAGTAATTGACCGCCATTGTGGCATTGCTTGTATCTGCCCATCAACAAATTGATAAAAGAATATGAGACATTGGTGTAGTCTTCTTGTTTGGAGTGATGAAAAGTTTAGTTCTTGTAACATTTTGGCCATTCTTCCTTCCTCTCTGAATAGGTAGTCATTTGTAATGAATCTTAATCTTGTCTTATGATGCTTTCTAATGTTGCTGTCTCTTTGATTGTACAGGGGTCCAAGATAATTGCTCTGTATTCCATGATTGACCTGACAAGAGTTATATAATATGCTGTTTTGCATTCCTTGGAACAGTGTTAGAGGTTTCCTCACAGGAATCCAGTTGTAGAGCCCGCTGTTATACAGGTGTTGTTAATTGGTTCGTTCCATGTCAGATCTCCTGATATTTGGATATTTTGATATAGATTGGATGAACTTTCCAGTATGTGGTTGTGTTTCTTATACTGAGGATGTAACATTACCCCAGTTTCTTACCCACATTTTCAGATTCTTCAGATCATTTTGGAGTGCTGTGTGGTCTTGTTCATTATTTATCTCCATGTATAATAAACAATCATCTGCAAAGAGCCTTACTGAGCAATTCAGTGCTTCTGGCAGGTCATTTATGTGGTACAGAATGAGGAAAGGGCCTAGTACTCTTCCCTGTGGTACTCCAGAGTCTGGATTGATATCATCAAAGTTTTCCCCTTTCAGGGCCTTACATATTTTCCACTTTATTGGGAGTGATGTTAACCATGCTTCAGTTTGTCCCTGTATCCTCTATTGTTCTATTTTGAAAAGAATTTTGTTGTGTGGAACAGTCAAAAACCTTTGAGAAATTCAGAATTATGATATCTACCTGCTTGCTTTTGTCATATGATTGCAGTAAATCACTGATGGTGACTATCAATTGTGTTTCACAGGAAAACCTAGATCTGGAACCTTGGTTTAGTGCTGTCAACATTTTTGTTTTTTTTTCTTTCTTGATTTTTCATCAGTTGACTGCATATGTATTCTAGTGCCTTGCACAGTACGTATGTTTAGGATACCAATAATTAGTTTTCCACTGCCATCGTCTATTATTAATTAAGCATTAATTTGGAATTATTTTTAACTGTAAGAGCAAGTGCTAGTTGGTCTGTACCCAGAGTGCTCTGTTTGGGACATGATCTGATGGTTTTTATGGGGTTTATTTTTCATGATAGTTTGACTGCTCCATCCTCCTTGATTTTGATATGAGTGATGTTTAACGTTTGAGGCATTTGCTGGTCTATCCTCTTAGGAATACTAATGAGGATTCCTCACTGTTTGTGTTAAGTATAATTTACTGGGCAGATAAAGAAGAATGCTTCATTTTTTGTACTGTAATTATGTGTAAATGTAAACGTTGACATGTCTAGATTCGGCATATCTGGTTATCAATTATTCAAATTCTTATGACAAACTGGTAAACTAAGATTTGGTCATAAGAACATGATTCACTAAAAGGAAACTACCTACATTCAGTTAAATATTAAACTGATAACTGGCCAATAGACCGCTGGCAATAGATCGATCGAGTGCTGTCTGCCTCCTCTACTTAAAACCGTTCGCGACTTGATAAACTGAATATCTACCTTTCGCCTGAAAAGATCAGAACACCTCCAAACTGTGCGTGTGCGGTGTTGACGGACATCTTGCAGTTGTTCAGCAATTTGTTGATGTTCCTGCTATCACGTCATTTGACTTACATTCGGAAACCTTGTTATTTTATTTATGCTCCAAGATATATGAAAGACTCCAATATGTTCCGATAGTAAAACTCGGCCTCGATTGAACGTTTGAATTTGAGCTATGATATAGAACTGCATAACAAACGTATTTGGTGATCTAGACGACTATTTGGAAATGAACATAGACGAGATACGGATAAGAACGTCCTACTTTTTGTAAGTGTGTTACACAACGCATTTCAATATTGATATTTCAGCAAGCAGTTTAATTTGACGTGGTTATGTCATTGCATATATGACATTATTTGCGGTGACACGAAATTATTGCATCAGTATCTTGTGTTCATTTCACCCTATTTGTATACCGTCAAGACGGTGAATGACGGATTTTTTTTCACCCACAACTTTTGTGATTATAAAGACTCCATGGCATTCAATGTAAACCCTCTGGCCATAGGGATATGTTCGTTAGATACTGCGAAAGTTAATGTATATAAATCTTGTAACTGGGATATGTTTTCATCTGTGCATAAGTTAATGTTATAATAATGAGTTCAGTGAAGTGAAAAACTACTTATTAAATGTAATTATAGACTTCTATATTGAACCACAATTAGATGTCTTTCGTTTCAGATTGACTGTACCTGTATACAAAGATATCCAAAAGTATGATTATCCAGTTTAAATATATGATCTATGCATGTAACGGAATGACGACTGACTAATTCTAGAAGAGAGTGCGTGGCTTAACAATCATATGCACTGATCTTGATTTGCAAAATGACCGCTAACCATGGTCAGCAGGCCTCTAGCCCAAGGAACTCTGGAGGGGGTGTGTCTGTCCGTCCGAGCCATCGGTCATATCGCGAATATGTACGCCAGCAGCGTAATCTGGTTGTGAAGGAGGAAGACCTGGGTAGTCCAAGGTTATGGCGCCAAATGACATGTGGATTTGTTTGTGCAGCCTGTGTAGGACTTTGCATGCTGACAGTTGGTAGTGTGTTTATTGCAGAGGCAATACACTCTCAGTACTCGATCACCATCATGCTGTGTGTCATGGGAATGGGTAGGTTGTCACTGATTTAAAGAAAAGCATTGATATTTACCCTGCAAGTTAACAATGTGCTACATATCTCAATGCCTCAGTAGCCATGCATTATTGCTAAAAATAACACACTGAATGTATTTTTGTTTCCCTATTGACAATGTAGTAAAAGCTACAATGTTGTTCATATAACTGGTAAAAGGTATACCGATTGCAATGTGAAATACATCTTCAATTATTTTGTTTGGGTTTTTTCTTAGTAAAACATTTCACATAAAACATACAACAAAAAAAAAGATCTGTTCTGATCGTTAATGATAGTACTATCTTAATATCATAAAAGATCAAACTTAACAGTGTGAGTTTTTGTCTATTTGAAGCAAAGATGTGAAATTGTTATTAAGGTACTTAATCTCCTTCAGAAGAAAAAAGAAAACGCATAGACATTAGACCCAATAAAAAAATCTTTAGAATGGAAATTAATTAGCTTTTGGATTCCAGATTATGAATGCAATGTTAATATATGAAATATTTATTTATGATAGGTACTGAATGATCTCTTTCCAGGTACAGGGCATCCAGTTCTCATCTGTAAGTATGATTGACATAGTTTATACCACAGGCTGAAAATCATTTTGTACCTTTCAGTTTGTGGACTCATCATCTTGGTTGGAACATTGATCTTAGGGAAACTTTGGATATCAAGGAAATGGAGGATAGCCCATGGACAGCAGCCCTCCCAACACCCACCGCAACAGTGTTTTCACACTTGTTCAGGTATGTACAATGAAATATTAGTCAGTTTGTCCCTTTCAACACACACCACAAAAGTGCTTTCACACCAGTTCAGGTACAGGACAACATCAGTCATATTGACCCTCACAACACCCACCACAACATTGTTTTAACTCCTTTTAAGGTACAGGACAACATCAGTCAGATTGACCCTCACAACACCCACCACAGCTGTGTTTTCACACCAGTTCAGGTATAGTGCAACATCAGTCAGATTGACCCACACAACACTCACCACAGCTGTGTTTTCACACCAGTTCAGGTATAGCACAACATCAGTCAGATTGACCCACACAACACTCACCACAGCTGTGTTTTCACACCAGTTCAGGTATAGCACAACATCAGTCCTGATTCATTACTGATCATAAAAAATGGAATTAAAGAAAATCAAATGGTCCTGTACATTTATACATGTGAGTCTGTAAATAATTATGATGTTTCAATTCCTTTTTCATAGGTATTTCAAATTCAAAATCAATTCAATTTGTGGGAAGAATCAAATTTGTCACTACAAAAAATTCATATTAAACTTCACATGCATCGTATGTAGCATACAATAATAATGTGAGAAAAGGAACAAGAACAACGTAATTAACCAACCTGGACTTACACTTTTGTGTTATCATGCACCATGTCATAACTAAATAAATCTTTTATGATCTGAAATCTTTTATTGTTGTTCAGGGCTCAATATCAAATACCTTTATGCCAGTGGCAATCTCTTGGTTTGGAATTGTGATTGTAGTGAATTGTACATTTTACACAAATTTCATTTATTTGATGTTTTGCATGTAATGTATTGTATCTGACATTTAGTCATTTTGGTACTTTGATTTTGAACTGGTCACATATCTGAACGTGTAATGAAATACTAATGTTAGTGTTACGTTAACAGTAATCAACACGCCCTCCCAAGATCAGCTGGCTTACACTACGGATCTTCCTCCAGCCTATGAGACCATTATGATGACTGACCTACCCCCAGGGGTAATTTCCCCCGTCCACCCTCCCGACACCGAGCCATCCACTTCCAACTCTGTGACCAGGCATCAAGTGAAAGCTGTCATGGCACTTCCTCCGAATTATTCAGATGTAGCAGCTCCATTGCCCTCCTACGGTGAACCTGTTTAAAATCAATATCACCAGGAACCAAACTGATATAGCCAAATTTTCACACTAGAAATATTCTTATATTTTAATCTACATATGTATGTTAAGTTCTGAGTTGATGCACATTTCTGACATTATTTTCATCCGAATTTTCTTTTTCCTATGATTTAGGAAGAAAAGCATAATTGAAATGATATTCAATAGGAGTTGGATCAAGATATCTTTAAAAGTTTGACAGATGTATTGTTATTTTGGTAGTTTTATATGTTTATGTGCTTTTAAAAGAATCTTAATGATTGGTAAACGTCCTGATACCAAATTTTTTCTTGTGAATCATTGAATATTAAAAATAAAAGTAACACCATCTGTTTGTAGCCCAAAGATAACAAAGTTTGCATGCTGTATTGTAATACATTGTTTTGAAACATCCTGTAACACATCTACACACACGAAGGTAATTTGTTATTGTGCTGTTTGGTTTGTTTTTACTCCAAACTCAATCTGAACATGATCTGTACGTTAGTTACAGTATTGGCCATGATATCGCCTGGTTGTGATCATTCCAGATGATGGTTGACACACTAACACACAGGAAATGTTAAGATAGTGTCGTTGGGTTGAAGGACATCGAGAAATAATGAGTTTAACATCCTAAATATATGGTGTATACATGTACCGGTATTAGGAATAGTTATGTGATATACAAATTATGTATCAAAGAGGAAAACATGAATTTTATATGTAACTTTTTATTGGTTTCACTATGTCACCTTCAGCAGACAAATGACCAATGAGGGTGTATACACCAAGTTATGAAGTGCATAGGAATAGCAATCAAGACCTTGTCTTTCACTCTTAAAGTATAACTTGATTGTAAATAACAAACAAATGACGGGAAGTTGTTAAATAGGATTCTGCTGTTCGTACTTACCTATCTGGACAAAATATATAAAATAATCCTGTTTTATTAATGATGACGAGTATTGAATAGTAAACATCTACAATATCATTGTGTGATGTCATTAGCTGTATTGATAAGTATCCTTTATTGTTTAATTTCAATATTTCTTTAAAATTGATGATTTACGTACATCTCTAATCAAAATTAGATCTTAAAAGATCAGAAAATTTAACAAAACAAATCACATTGACAGAAGTGCTTGACTTTTGATTTTTAGTCTTGTATAAGTCTACATGCCACGTTTCAAGCTACTAAAGCAAAATTAATAGAATATTTGCTATTTAGGCATGTTTGCCAGCCATTTAAATCTGCTACGTTATTGATTTTAATGGACAAGATATAAAAAAGAACTTTGGTTAAGATGGGAAGAATATCATCTTATAGTATATGAATATGCAATAGTTAAGACAATTAAATGATTTGATTGTTTATGTTATTCTGGATTTTATGAATTCAGTATCTTTTAAGTGTCCATGTTCATATTTTTAAATTCCAAAGTTGAAACTCTATCAATTTGTGATGTTTTTCATTATGAATTATTCAAAATATACAATAACTAACGATATATGTGTGATGACCAATATTTCTTTCAAAGATCAAATGGATTACATTGATATAACAATTTTGTTAACATTTCTGAAATGTTATTCATCATGTTTATTAATAATAATTCTTTTTGATATGTTACATTGTATAATTTTATTTATTATTTTATTTTTGTATTTATTTCTAAAAGCTAAAGATTTAATCCATAAAATTTAGGGCACATGAAAGTTTCTGTGTTTTTATGTATGAACTAACAATATAGATGTGTAACTGCAAACTGTTAACAAATTTTATTGAGCCACGAGTTTCTATCAAATTATTGGCATTATACAGAGGAGTGATATTATCAAAATGATTGTGGAAAGGGAGCTAACTGTGTATTGCGCTTTATTTAGTCATTGTAGCATGCACACACATATGTGCACACTCACACACACATACATATACAATATGCTTTAACAAAAATCATTTTGAATAATTTATTTGACTCTGTAATAATTATTCTACTCAATATATATATAGGCTGTGCTCTGGACTCTATTCTGATCTCATTGATATTTTCTTATGCAATTTGGTTGCAAGGAGCCTTAATTTGTGTTAACTTCCAGTTGTTATTTGTGTAAGTATCATGATTGTTGTACTGTTGTTAATTTTAAGTGATATGAAGAATCTTGTTTTGTAGATATACATCATAGGGCCATACTGAATTGATTACCTGGTTTTTATTTGTATACAATTTTTAAAGCAGTTCTATACAAAATTAATTTAAATAAAATGCATGTAAGGCTCTGCAAATTTAATTTACATAATAAATTATGTTGCATATTTTGAGGTTGTATCTAATTACTTTCATGTTTTGTATAGAATTACCTTTTTATTTTAGATATTTCCGATGATAAGATTAAAATACTTTTACAAACAGATTTACAGAGCATTCTTACTTGATAATTACTGATAGTAACATTACAATAAAAATTGAAAATATAAATTTTTTTTCGTATAAACGATCAAAAAATCATCACATGTTCTTTATGAATGGGAGTTTCTTTATCAGACAACAACTTGCTAGTTTCTCAATTTTATTTATTGCTTAAAGTCTTTATGAAAATGTTTGACAAAATAAACACAAAAAGATAAATTATCACTCTTACTTTGATTGCAATGATAAAAAAAAAAACGATTTAAATTTAAAAAAAAAATGATCTTTTTCAAATCTGTCTGCTTTTGTTACCAAGGTGACTTGGAAGTTGTGACCATAGATCCATCTCACCATCTTTTATTGCTTAACATTGTTTTTTGTTTCATGTCATATATATATATAAGAATATCACTGTCTGAGGCATCCCATATAGAGTTGTTTCAAGCTTGGCAGTTTCGCAGATAGAACTAGATAGCCAAGTGTCTCTTCGGATTGTATTAGACACCTGTTTATTTATCCCAATGAGACACAATCTTTATTGTTACCACTGCTGTCACCTTAATAATGATTACTCCCATTTTTTTTCCATAAAAGATATTAAATCAAAACATATAGCATTTAAGCTCCAATATCCATTAAGTTGGACTGGCTACCTGATCATATTTAAATCTTTATATATATATGTCTTGTGGCCAAAAATTGATAAAGTGCTTAAGTGGATTTCTTTTTTTTTTTTTTTTTTTGCCAAATTAGCTTTTTTCTCAATTTGACTATGTCACTTTAAAGTTCGATAACCTTCAATGTTGTACAATTGTTTATGTATCGATCAATGTGTGAGGTTAAAGATTTTATTTACATAGACATTCGTGTATATTTGTGATATTGTGTTTTTGGATATCTGACGGTATATTTGTGATACTTAAATATACTGATGTGTTGGTATACTTGTCTGTTTATGGTTTAGAAAACTATGTTTACCACACGTAATATGTTTATCATGTGTATTTGGTAAATATTTGTGTATTTATGGTGTACTATGTACATTTATATAAGATAAACACATTCTACCACATGCTTTTTAATGACTTTGTATATCTAAATACCTATCTATGTGTTGATGACATTTAGTGTAATTGTAAACATCTGTCAGCGTTTTTGTTGTATTGTATATCAGTGTATGTGCATGTATGTACAATTTTTATGTAATGGCGTCATGCTGTATGCTTCTTGTACCTATTTGTGATATTTGAAATAATCAGATCTGTATATACATATGTAAAGCTTGTATAACAATTTGCCATCATAAACATTACACAGAAATGTTAAGTCCTGTTTCGGATTATCTTATATAATATTGCGATGGAAAGTCTTTGTTTGTCATGTTTAATATACATTGACTATATGATATTAACTTAATTCCAAATTTTCATGTTTGGGTATAATAATAAGTAAGCATGACATTGAAAAACACTTTGTGTAAGTGAGAACTTTTTCATTCTAGCATGTTTGTGCCAATCTGATATCCCAAGAGTTACTGCCCTTCGTTTTTCTCCATCAGTATAGCTGGTTATGGTGATCAGCTAGACAGCTGATAGAGACTTGAGAATGGTTTGTGCAGTTTACTGTGTCAGTGCTTGCTGCTAGCACTTATTCTAGTGGGGAAGCACTAACACAGAAGTGCTCACATATAGTTTCTCATCATGTCTCAAAAGTATTTTCTGCATCTAAATTAAAAGACAACAATACAGAAGCCCTTGTGTTTTTGTTTAATCTCAAACAAAGATGAAATTTTAATTAATTCAGAAACAATTAACTGGTTTGTATGTAAATTATAACATTCTAATGCAATAATCTTACCAGACATTTTTTATCTTTTTGTGTTTTTCTTAAAACTCCTGGAGATTTTTAGACAGCTGGTTTGTGTGGTGTTTCGGTGTGCATAAAATGAACATACAATGTTTTTATGCCATCTTGCCTGTGATGAGCAGCACACCAGAATCAAGTTTGTCTAATGATTTTCAGAAAGTCATTCCATTGAGAATATTTTAAGCATTACTTGTAGCAACCACCATGATAACAAGAGCCATACTTATCCATGTTGTAGTGTAGTGATAGTTTTAGCCAGGAGAAATGCATTAGACTCTGTCTAAACTTGACTCTGTGCAGTCCAGATATTTGCTTAATCTGGTCAAATAATTAAAATGGACTCTCTGCAATCTGGAACTCTATACAAACTAGCCAAATTATTCAGTCACAAAGGTGTCCGGTTTAGACAGTACTTGTTTTCAAACAGGTTAAAGAATTTTATCAATTTGCTCTCAGAATGTTACATTGAATGGCATTATCTTTATTCTATTGTTCATTACAGTGGAAACACTTGCTGAATCATGGATAATATTGTTTATGACTTTTTTTTTGCAACAATGTATTATTATATCCAATTATCAGTTAAGTAAACAGTATCACTTAATTGCCATTCCAGTCACAAACCTTAAACAGATTACTAAGAAATTTAAACTTGTGTGGACAGTACTGACCACTAATAGATTTACACTTGAGGAAAAAAATAATATATTTCATTATACAGTGTGTGTTGACCCAAATATATTCTTATTACTCAAGATTTTCACAATCTGGAGCAATTTCCCCGCCGTAATGTAGGAAGGGGCGGGGAAAAGGGTTGGCACACTCGTAATCATTTTTTGGTGAGACGTTATCACAATTGTTCTGTATTTAGCGGCTTTGTAAGACATTTGATGATGGTCAAACTTTGCTGATATGCTCTACTGCTGTACAAATGGTTTTTGATTGTTTGTTTTGTATAAGCATCATCTTTATCAGTCTTTTAAAATTTTGCAGTGGAAATATACAAGTGAAAAACATATCTTTATCCGATGCATTTCATCACAGACCAGCTTAGCTGATTCCAAATTTGCTTTATGGTATATTTACAATCTATATACGAATCTATGACCTTTTACAATGTGTACTTGTCAGTCTGTGGACCTGGGAAGGAAAACCAAAGTGAGGCTTATAAATTACAATACACTTAAAAAAACCTTACGTGTCAACATTTTTTTAACACATGTACCTATCATATTTCCATCAGGAAGATTGCTGATGTTGAAATATAGTATAGTGTAACACTCGTTTTGACAAAGTAATACTATTTACTTTAAGTTTCTTGTTCTGATGCTGAAATTCAGGAAATTTTGATTGGTTGGCAATTAAGTCTGAAATTGCAATGAAAATTGTGAATGTCCCTTCTAAATGGAAAGGGTTGGTACTAATGGAAAATCTATTGAGTAAGTTTGGAAATATAGAAATAAAATCAAGGTCATATTGGTGAAAGGTCTTGTTACAGGATTATTTCCACCCTTAATCAAGTTTTCTGTTTATATCCATGTCAAGATACTGACAAGTAAATACTTATGATAAGGTAATTTTTGTATTGTAGAAATATTTTACTGTGAAGTATTTCAACTACAACGTTTTATGTATGTGACCAGTCATTTGCTGTGAATTATCGTCTTTAATATGATTGTAACTTGAAAATATTTTGTGTATTCTTATTTCATGCCAATAAAAGAAGTACAA